TTCCATGCCTGGGCACTACAATACAGTTAGTCTGATTTTCATACATATCTGTGACTCCTGACTTAATTTTTCCTTAACATTTTCCATGCTAAAGAGTTTTCCGTAGGAGGTGTAGTTCAGACAGTCTGTGTTACTGTTGCTACCTTGATTTTTAAATGTCAGAGAAGTCATATATCAGGTTATGCTACAGAAAGGTCACTGAGGCTGTGTATAAGTTGTGTAGAATTTCACAAAAGGGCAAATCATCTTTTGCAGCTGCCATTGAACAAGACTTAATTTTCATGTTTTGTGACAAGTTCTCCATTATAAAACAATCATTTTAGGAATACTAAAGGTCAGTTTGGTAAAGTACTGGAAATGTAAAAGTTAAACTTTGTTTAGAAGTCACACAATTCAAAGAATAACACATTTTACAGCTTTGCTTGTAAGTGTTCTGCAATTAATTTACTATGGAATCTTCCCCAAATCATTTACTTTCATTTAAAATGTTACAGTGTACCCAGTTGTACTTTACAAAGCTAAGTGGCTTATAAGTACAGCTTATCTTCACAGACTTACTACTGATGAATCCAAGTTTCAAAACAGTTGTTTATTCAGCTAAGCCAACTGGAATTAATTTAATTACTTTATTTAATCCAGAGTTGGTAATGTATTCCAGATTGGAAGCACTTCCTCCTAATACTAAGCAAAATTACTGGCTTACATTTCATGCCAACAAAAAAAAATGTTCTGAAGATTAAGTTCATTGCTCTAGATGCAGCAGCAAGTTTTGTACAAATGCTCCTGTAACAACTGTGCTTATCCCAGTTCTGTTAAGAGTTATTCAAGCTCATGTTTTAGTTTGATTTATTCACAGTAGCTGCAAAAGAACTCGAATTTGGCTGGAGGCCCTGATTCCTTTGTATGCAGAATTTTTTAATGCAATTTTTCATAGCTAACTGAGAATAATTATGATCATAAATCAAAATGCAAAAATGCATTTGTCCTGGATGTCATTTAAACAGGATACATCAGTGCTGCACAGTGTTAGAATTTGGTTAAAACTCTCCAAATCGTAATTCAGAACTACTGTCGTGTTTTGATATGTAGCAATTGTGGTTTGATAGTTCTGGAAAACCTGTGTAGTCGTTTATTTGCACTATTTCTGGCTGTAACTTTTTTCATTGATGATGTACAGATGAAGATAATAATAATTATGGTACAACTTTTTAAATACTTAGGAATAAAAATGATAATAGTAAGGGATAGCCAGGGAGTCTTTGGTTATCAGCTAACACCAGAAAGCCTTAGTTTACTACTGCAGTTTAACTACAATATTTTCCTGTGAAAACCCATCTGTGTCTGAATCTGCCCACCAGGAGTGAGGACTCAGGCTAGTTTTCTGGAAGTCAAGTGCAGGACTGATTGCCAGTGGCTGTGCGTTGCTGGTGTGATGCTGGTGCACCATCGTGGGGGCAATTGGTACCCGCTTTGGTTCTTGACACACAGCAACCCTGCAGCAGAAGGATCCTTCTCAAGGCTGGATGAGGTAGGCAGCTGATTATTCTTGTTTGCATCTATAGCAGCTATACCAAAGGCACACTCATACTCCTTTGGGTCCTTGAACTACCCTCTTGGGATAGTGCCAAGGATATGTGGGGCCTCTAAACTGGCCACAATAGGATGCTTTTGCCACTTGTTTCCCGTCCAGCTCACCTCAGTTTCCAACACAGACAACAGCTGTGATCCCATTGTCACTCCAGAAATCCAGCCTCTTGCCCAGGCTATGTTTCCAGGCCTGTTAGAGGTGTAAACCTATTACAAACTGGCACAGTCCTTCTGTAGTGCTAGGTGTGGAGTTGGAACTCACATGGACAGACATCCATTGTATAAGTATCCAAAAGAGGAGAGGTGTCCTTGGCCCATCTGCTGTTTCTGGGGAATCGCTTGACAGCAACCGGAGCAGTAGTCTGCTCGGACGTGCCTACTTTAGCCACTGTTTTTTCCCTCTAAGTGCTGATCTCCATTTTTTTATTTATGTACGTACAAAATAGGCATTGATTTGGTTCCACCCACGATTACAAAAGTTGCTAAGCTTGTTCTTTTACAGTTTCCTATTAGTGAAGGAACTTCATTGTGAAGGAAAATCACTGAACTCACTGAAGCACAGCTTACAGTGAAAAGATAAAATAATAAATATGTGGGCAATACAGAATCTGTTGCCTGCTTTGTGTTTATACTTCTAAGAGTCTGTCTATAGATATGAGGGAAGTACTGTTAATGACCTAGAGATTAAGAGCAAGCAAAAATGATGAACAAGTGTCTGTTTTAATCTACCTCTGATTTCACCTTTTCGCTTCAGCCTTTTCCTTTTATTGATGACTTGTATTTTAGTGGTATTCCCCAAATCCATAACTGTCTGTAATAGAGAAGCTCTAAACATATTTGTTCCACTAGACACCAAGGGCCTTTTCTGAGATGATGCTCATCATCTGTAAGGAGTTCAAAGAGTTCCCTTACTTTAATCTTATTAGCTGACTCAAAATCTTGCATCACTGTGATGATTTATAGATGCTTTCAAGTTGCTTTAAAAATAAAACAACAAAAAACCACTGATATTCTTGCAGACTTGTGAAGCTTGAAACGATTTGTTCTTTTGACTCACATTCATGCAGGAGCTGCAGTAAGTTTAATCAGATATTACTTGATGTAAAAGGCAAAGTGCTTCATTCACATACTGATTGTGCCAGTAACTTCACCATCCTTTGTCCCTTAAGGCTTTCCTGATAATAGAAGGAAGATTAAATGAAACTGATAGGCATGCTCTCACAGGATCTTTTTGAGGGAAGATGCTAAGCCTTGCGTGTTTCAGTTTCCAAATAAAACTTGAGGAGTCTTTCAGACTCTGGTCTCAGTTGTGGGTTGTGTGTGGTTTCCCCCATCCCACTGTTTAAAAGGGTTAGAAGTGTGAAGATGAGAGGGAACAGAGGTCCTGTACAACACAGTGCCGATTTTCTCATACAAGGCATGTACAAGAGCACAAATAGGTTGGTTTCTGCTGGTAAACCACAGCAAAGAGCCACTGTGTTCCAGCCAGAGTGACTCACCTGCAGCAGGACACTCCTCTACATACACCGCTTGTGCACTCGCTGTAGGGCAACCTGGGGACCTTTCGGTGTTAACCACCAACACTTCAGCACTTCAGTATTTTGGCTGTTCACACTTAACCAGCGGTCATGCCTCAGGTACGTAAGCAAAAACTGAAACATGGAGTCCTCTAACACATGCACTGGGCTATTTTTTTCTCCTCCTCCCCAAAAAGCCTCGGGGAATAAATAAATAAGAGCACAGGGCAAAAAGAAAGACCATGGGGTAAAAAGCATGTACGAAGAGACTGAAAAAGATATAATTTTTTTTTTGGTGGTGGTGTCGTTTTTAAAGGGAGACTGGGAAAAAAAGATTACCCACCTTTTTCCAGAGAGTCCCATAGAAAAAGAGAGACCAGGGGAGGGGAGACTGGAAAAATAAACTGTGGAAGGGGATGACTAGAAAATAAAGACTGAAAAGAGACTGAATAGGGAGAGGCTCTGGAAAAACACAGTGAGGCAGGGAAAGGTGCAGCTCTAGGGGGGGAAAAAAAAAGAAATGCAGCTCTTGAAAACAAATCCTAGAGTCTCTTTTTTTTTTTTAAATGGAGACTGGGAAAAACAGCTCTGTGTTTTTTTTTTTAAAAAAAAAAGATTCTGTCGGAAAGAAAGAGCATGGGGAAACCTTTTTTTCCCCATTTTTTTTTCCTCAAAGAGACTGAAAAAAAATGCCCCATGAACTCATGGGACAGGGAATGACACTTTTTTCCTATCTTTCTCTTTGTTTCCCAAACAGACTCTGAAAAGGGCACCTGGAGAAAAGGGAGTCTGAAAAAAAAGAGAGGAGACTCTTTCTTTCTTTTTTAAGGAGAGACTTGAAAAAGAGACTGAAAACAAAAACTCTGGAAAAATAGAGTGATTTTTGTTGTTGCTTTTGTTTTTGTTTGTTTGTTTAGGAGTCCAGAAAATGAGAGGCTCTGGGAGAGAGATGGAAGAAAACTAAAGACTAAGAAAAAAAATGAGGCAAAAATGACAAAAGCAACAGATGATGACAACATGATAAAAAAGAGGCTTAAACTATAGATACACAAACTCAGGAAAAGAGCTGAGAAGAAAAAGGCATGTTTTCTTGATAGCTGTATCTAGAGCTATACAGTTAACTTGCTATCTTTTAATTATTTACTGTTCCTTGTTAGTATTATCACTGTCTGTGTAGAGTGGCAGCAGACTCGTTTTGGTAAAGAAAAATTATGAAAACTCGAGAAATAATTATTATAGGTGAATTATGATTTCTACTGATATAAGCCTGACAACCAACTTGCTTTTGTGCCCATTTTTGCTTGTAAGGTCTCACAAAGTATGGTATTTATGGACTGCATGCAAACCATTTGAAAGGAAATCTAAGAATACCTTCCTTTGCCATATTGCAAAGACAAGGCTCCGTGTGCTGCATGGTAAGGGCACTGCAACATAAGGGAACACCACTGCAGGAAGCTCATGATTTTGGGTTTTATTTTTTAAGGGTTTTGAAGTTTTAGAAGTGCAAGAAGCCAGCCCCTGGCTGCCTTCATGACAAGACTCTGGCAGATGGATGTTTCTGCAGGTGGCATCGCACCTGCGACCACTTCTTCCCAGATATTAAAGCTCTCCCTGCTGGCAGCTGTCCCTGCTACCAGGTGCCCCTCAGCCGCTGCAGCCGGCTTGGGACAACGCCGGGTGCCCGCCGCCATCCCTCCCTCCCTCCCTCCCGACAGCCGCCATGGCTGCGGGCGGCCCAAGATGGCGGCGGGCGGGCCGAGATGGCGGCCGGCAGCGTGGCGCCGAGGCCCCTCCTCCCTGAGGCGTTTGGCGCGAAAATCCCCGTGAGGGGCCGGGGCCCGGCGCGGCGGCGGCCGCTGATTGGCTGGCGGGGCCGAGGCGGGAAAGGCGGCGGGGCGGGGCCGGGGCTGAGGGGGCTGAGGGGACGGCGGTCGCCATGGACCTGGCGGCGGCGGCGGCGGCGGCGGGCGGCGGGGCGGCAGCGGCGGCGCCTCAGCAGCTGCGGGATGAGGTGGCCGAGAAGTGCCAGAAGCTGTTCCTGGCCTTCCTGGAGGAGTGAGTGGCGCCGGGCTGGGGCGGCGGCGGCGGCGGGCGGGCAGGGCTGAGGGAGGGGGCGCTGAGGGGCAGTGGGGAGGGCTCGGCCTGTGGGGAGCTCCCTGGGCAGCCTTCGTGTGGGGATTTGGGTGCTCCGGGGGCTCCTCGGGGGAACTGTGTGGGGTTTGGGCTTTGGAGGGGGCCTCCTGCAGCGAACAACGATCACAGAGCCCAGATCATTGAGTGTTGGGCCTGGTTAGCCTGGAAGACAATAGGCTGAGGGGAGACCTCATCTATATATATATAATTTATATAATATATATACACATATATATATTAATACCAGAGGGGAGGCTGTCAAGGGGGAGGGACCAGCCTCTTTTCAGTTGTGCCCGGTGACAGGACAGCGGGCACAAACAGAAGCACAGGAAGTTCTGGCTCAATATGAGGGGGCGTTTCTTTACGGTGAGGGTGGCAGCACTGGGACAGGCTGCCCAATGAGGTTGTGGAGTCTTTCTCTGTAGAAACATCTCCAGATGTTTTTGGATATCTTATATATATTCAAACTCTCCCTGGATGCCATCCTGCACAATGTGCTCTAAGCTATCCTAGGTAGGGAAGTTGGACTAGATGAGTTTCAGAGGTCCCTTCCAACCTCAGCCATTCTGTGATTGGGTGAATAAGGTTGGAAAAGACCTCCAAGATCATCTAGTCAACTGTCCCCCTGCCACCACTGTCACCCTTCTAAACCATGTCCCTAAGCACCATGTCCCAAGAAAGCTGTTCACCTGATCCTAAGGGAACAAAGCCTGTCTTACTGCTGCAGGTCATGGTTAGACCACAGCTAGGAGGCTGCGTAGGAGAGCAGTAGGGCAAGAAGCAGATCCGTGTGTTTGCAAGGCGTCTGTGGAATGGGGACAGAAGGAAAAGCATCACTGGAAAAGTTGTTTGCAAGGGGATGGGGGGCACCATCGTTTCCTTGCACACTCCCCAGCACACATCATCCTTTTCTCGTCCCGTGACAGCAGAAGTTTTTTGCTGCTGCCTGATGTATAACTGTCAAACATTTTCCTGAATCGTGCTCACTTTCAGGTTCCAGAACAGTGATGGGGAAGTCAAATACCTGCGTGATGCTGAAGAACTGATTCGGCCAGAGCGGAACACGCTGATCGTCAGCTTTGTGGATTTGGAGCAGTTCAATCAGCAGCTCTCTACCACTGTTCAGGAGGAATTTTACAGGTAAAATGTAGAGGTTACATGAGGGCTGACCTGTGCTGCCATCTCAGGCCTATAAAGTCTTACCTGAGGTTATTTGCTTTCTGTATTCTGTAAACCCTTACATATAATTAGTTTTACTGGATCGAAGTTTATTGCTTAATGGTTTCATAATTACTACTTTATTATTTTTTGTATTTCAGGGTTTATCCTTACCTTTGCCGAGCAGTAAAGACTTTTGCCAGAGACCATGGAAATATTCCCTCAAACAAGGATTTCTATGTTGCCTTCCAAGATCTGCCTACCAGGCACAAGTAAGATGATTCCTTATGTGTTTTTAGTACTGGAAAAAAGTGTCAAAGGATACTGAAAACGTTTTTGATTATCAGAATAAAACATACAGTTTACCAGTACAATTGTGAAGAAGCTGCCTGATCTTAGGGCTGATCTTTGAAACAGTTTTTCATTTGTGAATCATACAAAAGTTAGACTGGAAAGGCTCTTAAATACTGACGTTCATAGTGTTCTGCAAACTAATGTAACCTCTCTGTTTGCAAAGCTGGTGTAGATAGTGTGTTGCTTTTGAAGTACCAATGAAGTAACCTTTGCATCGGTTTGGCCTTTAGTATTAATCTAAAATTTTAAGTAAAATCAGGAAATGGGAAAATAGAAACCTTGTTTTCTTTGGCTATTACAACTGTTCTCTAGTCACAGATTGAATGAAACTATGTAGCTACTGATTGGGTAGTACCTTTGGCCTAGAAATGGCAACCCTACTAAGAATTTAAGCCCGATTAATTTCCATTTTAAACAGAATTCGAGAACTGACATCGGCGAAAATTGGCTCTCTGATGCGTATCAGTGGACAGGTGGTACGTACCCACCCAGTTCATCCTGAGCTTGTAAGTGGAACCTTCCTGTGCCTGGACTGTCAGACAGTGATAAAAGATGTGGAACAGCAATTTAAATACACGCAGCCAAACATCTGCAGAAACCCAGTCTGTGCCAACAGAAGGAGATTCCTGCTGGACACAAACAAATCAAGATTTGTTGACTTCCAAAAGGTACAGCGGGGAGGTTGGGGCAGAGTGACAACAAAAGATGACATTCCTGTGTTCTAGTGGTAGCTGCAAGGTGTTGTTTGTACTTCTGCATATCAGAGGTGGTTGATTTTGGTTCTGTCAACCTCAAAAAGAGATCTCAAGGCACTGGAGTTTCTGCAAATAATTTCTTTCTGTCTGTGGAAGACTTTTGTGTAAGCATGGGAAATTATGCATAGAATCAAAGCATTTTTATTGCATGACTTGGTGTGTAAACAAGTCACTGAAAACTCATGTATTTGAGCCATTGTCAGTCTCCTGTCACAGGTACATCGTGTGTAATTATTTCATGCAAGTATGAAAAGGGATATCAGCAGGGCTATTTAGTATCAGCAGTGTTTTGTTCTAGACAGGTTTACTCTGCCAAATCCTCAGCACATGCTATTCCACAATAATGCTTTGTCAGTCACGTTAACTGGACTCTAACTTGCCCAAATACTTGTCCTTAACTTCAGAATTATCACTGTGGCTCTTGTGTATACTCTAAGTTTCCCTAACACTCCTTAGATACTGATTAGTAAAGTGTGATTTTATTTCATTAAAAAAAATAGTTTCATGATTGATATGGATGGCAGTCAGCAAATGCCACTTCCTGTATTTATTTTTTAAGCTATTTTAGCTTTAAAAACAGTTTGAAATTCGGTGACATCCTGAGCACTTGATGTTCTGTACCTCCTCAGGTCCGCATTCAGGAGACACAGGCTGAGCTGCCGCGAGGCAGCATTCCTCGCAGCGTGGAGGTGATCTTGCGTGCAGAAGCAGTGGAGTCTGCCCAGGCAGGTGACAAATGTGACTTCACAGGATCACTGATTGTCGTGCCTGATGTGGCTCAGCTCTCAACACCAGGTTTGTTGCTGCTGCTCCTGACCTCCGTGTGACATCCCCGCAGCTTGTTCTGGCGGCTGCTGACTCTTCCTTCTCATGGCAGGAGTGCGCGCGGAAACCAGCTCCCGGCTGAGCGGGACAGAGGGCTACGAAACCGAAGGCATCCGAGGACTTCGTGCCCTTGGAGTCAGAGAACTGTCCTATAAACTAGTCTTTCTAGCCTGTTACGTCGCACCAACAAATCCACGGGTGAGTCTACAGAGAAAAATAGATCCAAGAGTACTGAAGATTTCCACTGTGTTTTCACCTCAAATTAGGGGGGTGAGGATAGGTAAAGCTATAAAGAGGTGCGTGTACCACCTTTCTTTGCATTTGACTGCCCTCATATTCTGATTGAGTTTACGTATCAAGTTCTTATCTTGTCTTTATTGTTCATAGCAATTTTCATGGATATGAAATTGGAGTTTGCCAATTTCATCTATTCTAAAAAGCTAAATGATTCATTTATTTCATTCAAATTTCATACATTTCTCCAGTATTTGCTTTTCCTCCAGAAAATCCTATTGATTCATATTGTTCCAGGGGAAAAAAGCTAACCTTCATGTTCCCTCTATTTTATCATATTAAATTTTGGGATGTTATTACCACATAATAAGTAACACTGAATGTGACTGGGTTTTAGTGTGGTGCTATATTTTAGGATATAATTTCCTGCCTCATTTCAGAGTAATAAAAGGCCATGGAAATTCTGGTTGAAGAATACTTAAAAAGGCAAATTTTAGCCAAAGGAAGCTGTACTATTTTTGCTCTCTTTTTACTCTCTAGACAAGCATCCCTGTTGTTTTTTTTATTGTTAACTGAGCTTAGACTCAATTTTCCTGCTACAGAATTGTTTGTGTGTTTTTCTGTTTGTTTGTTTTAAAGATACCAGGTGATGAGCTTCCTTAGCCTAAGGCTAGTCTTTCTGAATGTGTTCTACTCAGCTTAGAGTGCATAAGAGTTTGTATAAGCTCCTGTCTGCAGTACTCGCATTCAGTAGTAATCACATTTGTCATGGTTATTTATTTTTTTTAATTTCCTTGTTTAGTTTGGTGGAAAAGAGCTCCGAGATGAAGAACAGACTGCAGAAAGCATCAAAAACCAAATGACCGTGAAAGAGTGGGAGAAGGTGTTTGAAATGAGCCAAGATAAGAACCTTTATCACAATCTGTGTACCAGCCTCTTCCCCACTATCCATGGTAAGAGTCCAGTTGTTGCTTCAGAGAAAGGAGATTTCCCCTGTGAAAATATTAGTTCTTATTAATATCTTTGTAGTACCATTTTGGGAATTCATGAAAGCCCAGTACCACCTATCTCAAACTCTTCCTTCCAGAATTGGTTTTGCTAGAAAAGGAAGACCTAATTCCCAAAGACTTCATTTGTTAAATTAGTAAGGGTTGTAATGGAAGTCAAAATGGTTTTGCTCTGTGGTGATCTGCCACTTAACCCTACAGCTGACAGTTGGATATGAGCTTTATTTTATATGGGCATCCTTTGAAAGATTTAAGAGTTCCAAATCCATATGCTGTTGTGCGTGGATGTGTGTGCATATGTCTGGTGTTGCTTCTGGCTTGGAACTGGTTTGAGAACTTATGTTGGTTATGTCTGAAAAGTTTGATCAGCTGAATTTTGTCCATATTTGGAGCCACCCTAGTGTAAAGGAACTCAGTTGCCTTTCGAGTTATTCTTCCCTGAAACTGTATCAAGAACATAAATAGGCTTCTAGGGGATGTTTAGTAAATAAGTAATTCTGAGTTGATGTGCCTAAGTGCTCTAAAATTCTTCCAGTGGGCTAAAATTTTCTTAAAATACATGGTGTTGCATGTTGAGTGTCCTTTCTTGGGTAGGTAATGATGAAGTGAAACGGGGGGTCCTGCTGATGCTTTTTGGAGGAGTCCCTAAGACCACTTCTGAAGGCACTTCTTTGCGTGGGGACATCAATGTTTGTGTTGTTGGCGATCCAAGTACAGCCAAGAGTCAATTTCTAAAGTAAGTTTCTCTTTAAAATTCAGTATTTAAATATTGTCCAGTGTGACTAGAGCTATGAATGTATTACTCTGCCTTTCCTACGTTAAACAGAGGTAAGGGAAGTAAAATGGTAGAGAAAATTTTCCAGGAATAATTTGGATGTGGTTGAATTATTTGGGCTGAAGTAAATTCAACTGGTCCATAAGGTAATAAAAAAGAATTAATTTAAGAGGTGGTTGTTGTTTTTCAGATAATTATGAAAGTACAAGTTTTTATGTTTTTGAAAGTCATTGAATGTTAAAAATGTAACATTGAATATCTTAAAATATTAGAGATGGATAAAATAGTGATTTTTTTTTTTCCCCTCTGCTTTAGCGTAGTCTAAACTGGTAGGTCCCAACACCGATCAACCAGACAGCTATTAAGCCTGAACAATAATTATGAAATAAGTATATCTAATGGTACACATTCAAGCTATAATGCTTTTTTTTTTTAACCTCAAGTTCTATTTAATATGTTTTTTTTTCTCATGATGCTCTTTTACCTCTGGATCACTCTCTGTGAGGCTGAGGTCTACTGCATCTCAGAAATGTGGAGGCACCACAAAAGTTGCCTTTGACTGCCTGTGGTCAGCATAGCTGCTTCCTGCTGTGCAGCCTTGTGCTGTTCCTTTGTGCTGACTTCTACCTGACCTGTGAGGAGCTGCCTAAGCTTGTGAAGTCAGCAGAAAACTGTGGGAGGAGGTCTGGATTATTTTTTCTGCTGGTATAACCAAGAGTGAATAACAGACCTGTTACAGACTGCAGTTAGATAAGGTTTAGTTCCCAAGGCTCGCTCAAATATCATTACAGATAGGAGGACCTAACTAAATGTTAACTGCTTCCAGAAGGAAGGAATAAGTCCTGGCCCTAGGGCTTGAAAGCAGTCATGCATTAAAGTTGTCTTGTTTCTGCAGGTCTCAGTCTGTCTTTTTAAGTTTGTATAACACAGTTTCTCACTTTCAATAGGCACGTGGATGAATTCAGTCCTCGCGCTGTATACACCAGCGGAAAAGCCTCCAGTGCTGCTGGTCTAACAGCAGCTGTTGTAAAAGATGAAGAGTCACATGAGTTTGTAATTGAAGCTGGAGCACTGATGTTGGCAGATAATGTGAGTACAGGAACTAGAGAAGTTTCTGCACCCCTAGAATGGTTTTGATTAATGACAAAAGGCCCCAAACTGTCTTAAAAATGCTTTTGCTCCAAATGTGATTGAATTTGAGTAACTTGTTATTTTTTGTTCTTCTGCTGCAGGGTGTATGTTGCATTGATGAATTTGACAAAATGGACTTGCGGGATCAAGTTGCCATCCATGAAGCAATGGAGCAGCAGACAATATCCATTACTAAAGCCGGAGTAAAGGTACCTTGTGCTATTCCTTTGGCTGTGTAGTCTCCATGACTGTGTGAGTGTTTGTGGCACACACTGATCCAACATCATCTCTCAGACTTTGATGTCAGCTCTGCAGCTGCCTTGCTGTGGCAGAGAGAGATCACTTATCTGCAAAGTTTTCATGCCACTTGCTCATAAATAATTGGAAACTGTACTGAAGGGGAAAAAGAGACAGTAGTGGGAAGGAACAGAAAATGGGAATGAGTATGGGGAAATTCAAACCCTGACGTAACCCTCAAATGGTGTAGATTTTTTCACTTGCGGAACGATTTGTATATATGCACTGTGTAACAGTTTTAAAGGCTTATTTCAGTATTGGTGGTAGCTGTATGACAATGTCAAAAATTTAATCATTAAATTGCAATGTCAAAAATTTAATCATTAAATTAAGTATCTGAGCAGAATAGAATACTGGAGCTGGATTAAAGGACTGGTTAGAAGAGTTTGGACTCTTGAGGAGCTGTTGTTGTAATATAATCATTGCAATTCTGTATAAAAGACTTCATGCGGATCTTTTGGAGTTGCAATAAGTTGGTTTAGCAAGTCATGACTTCTTTTTCTTTTCTTTTCTTTTCTTTTTTTTTTTTTTTTTTTTTTTGTCAGGCTACCTTGAATGCCAGGACCTCCATTTTAGCTGCAGCAAACCCAGTTGGTGGGCGCTATGATAGATCCAAGTCATTGAAACAGAATATAAACTTATCTGCTCCCATCATGTCTCGGTTTGATCTCTTCTTCATTCTTGTGGATGAATGTAATGAGGTAATTTTGAGCAATTGTAGAATAATTTACATCAGAAAAGACCTCTGGACGCCTCTAGTCTAACCTCTTGCTCAGAGCAGATCATTAAGAGCAGGTTGCCAAGACCTTGACCTGGCAAATTTTGAGCATCTTCACAGATGGAGATTCTTCAGTTTCTTTAGGCTGCTATGGCAATGTTTGACAACTCTGCTTTTTATATTTAAAAAAAAAAAAAAAGAAGTTATATCTAATCAGAATTTCACATGGTTCAATTTGTGTCAGTTGCCTCTTGTTAATTTGTACTTTCAGGAACAATCTAGCCCCATTACATCTTGCCAATGAGGCACTTGTTTCTTTACAGGCTGAACTCATGCAGCTCTGTCGCTCCTCACACATAATGTGCTCCTGCCCTCTGACCATCTCTGTGTCCCTCTGCAATTTTAGGTGAAACTGATCTCATGAGAGCCTCTTGCTTCTGCTTTTATTCTCTGTCTGCGAAGTTAAAAAGCTGGCAGTACAAATTTGAACACACTGATGAATACAAGGATACTTGTGGTGATTTGACCTGCAAACGTAACAACATTAGTCAGTTTTACAAATTGCTAGTCACTAAGGCTAAGACTGCTACCACCTGTCTATGTGGCATTTGCCTCGAGAGTATAAAAGATGCAGAGATTCATGGTGTCTCAGTACAGTTCTTTCAGATGTTTTGCTCAGCATCATTATCTAATTGAGAAGGGACTATTGAAAGAGAGAGTAGGTTGTAAAGAAAGCCAGCAGTTCCCACGCTGCAAAGTGCTGCTTTCTGCCTGTTCTATGGCTAATTTGTAGCCCAGGAGAATTCCAGAAGTTGTAAATCCTAAAATTGCCTTTCATGCCTTCTCTGCTGCGTCCTTGTATTGAAACCTTCCAGGGCATTCTCCTGGGTCTTCTGGCAATGTCTTGCTTCTGGAAAGAGTAGCTCAGCCGTGACGAGTGCAAGTGAGGGAAGGGGATGGGAAGAAGAATACAGCTGTTGCTCTGACGTTTGGCTGGTGTTGCAAAAGTGATCTAACAGAGCAATATTATTCCAGGTTACAGATTATGCCATTGCCAGACGTATAGTGGATCTGCATGCCAGAGTAGAAGAATCTGTTGATCGTGTGTATTCATTAGACGATATCAGAAGGTATCTGCTGTTTGCAAGACAGTTTAAACCCAAGGTAATACTGCCTTTTTGTATAAATTAATCTGTGTGAGAAAGTCCAAAGGATTAGTCACTCTGTAGCTTGCTTTCTTCAGACAAATGCTCCTCACGAGAGGAGCACTAAACTCAGTTGTTATCTAGAAACATAATGTATTTTGGAGCCATGCACTCTTTCTTTTTTTTTTTTTCCACTCCAGAAGTCCAGACAGCCCAGATGAGATTATGCTATAATCAGTGACCTTAATCTCTTACCTCAAGAGCATGGGTTATTTGATACATGAATGCAGAGATATTCGTATTTTATTGACCTCTTGCTTAATCAAGCAGATTGTTTGTCTTTATTTTAAAAGGGTGGTGTTCCTCAATATTTCTTTGCTCTTGTTACGGTAAAACACAGAACATGTGAAACTGCTCTAAGTACAGATTTTTGTGGTCTACCCAAGTAGCTTTTTGGATGTGCTGTTTTCTAGCTCTGTTGGAAATTATTCTAATGTCATTCTTCTCAAATGGGAGGAGAGGACACCCTCCCTTTACAGAGTTCTGCAAACTTCCATTTCATTTCTATGTGGTGGGAAGTTTGTTTTCCAGTTGGATCTGTGTATGTGCAGATAGACAAAAGCTAATAAAAAGCACGCACACAAAGCTGTACTTGGTGTTAGTATTCTTGAGCATATACTTGTGTGTGTGTGTGTTTGCATGTAGAACAATCATAGAGACAGGCCTTAATTATGCCTAGAAGCAAGTCTAGAACAGAAAAACAAATTAATAAAAAATTTGCTGTAAGATAATTGATGAGTCAATGTACTTACTATGTAACTGTTACTATAACCATTATTACAATGTAATTCTGTTACGATTGTCCATTGTATTTATGTATGGTAAGTGTAATAGAATTAAATATTTCACAGAAAAGTCTGGAAACTGCTAATATGATTCAAGAAGCATAAACTTGAATGCTTTTAACATGGCAAACTGTCTTACTATCTTATGTCACAAAGATATCCAAGGAGTCTGAGGACTTTATAGTGGAGCAGTATAAACGGCTACGGCAGCGCGATGGCTCTGGAGTGACAAAGTCATCTTGGAGAATCACAGTGCGGCAGCTGGAAAGCATGATTCGGCTCTCTGAAGCTATGGCCCGTATGCACTGCTGTGATGAGGTATCAGGTTTTTCATGAAGGTTTATAGAAATGTTGTGGCAGCTCTGGCTTTTCTATGTGACTATGGTATTGTGCATATTTAAATCCCATAAGTGAGGAGGTGGGTTATTTTTTAATTAAACACAACTTACAAAGAAACTGATGGCTTTTAGCTAAAGGCTGAAGTAAGGAAGATTTGTCCAGTTTTTTCACTTCAGTTCCAGAGGAGAGTCTCATTAATTATAACCTTTTTTTATTATATTGTTTTAGACCCATTTCTTTCGTGTTTCTTGTTCCACTGATCCTTCTTCAAAATATTCTTGGTATAAGTAAAAAATCTTTACTGACACCACGTGATAACTAAAGTCTAAAAGGTTCATCAGGTTGTTTATTCCTTCTGTAACCTTATGTTGCAGAATACCTGTAGTAGAATGTAATTTGACTTGTGGGGTCTTTACTGCTTATGATTAATTAGCTGAGATGGGTAGAGAGACTGTCAGAATCAGGGGTGAACTGGAACTATTGGAGAAAGAAACCTTTAATACCAGAAGAGCCACCATGCCTATGTAATTCACGTTTTTTAAAATCTTCCCCAGGTTCACCCAAAGCATGTGAAGGAGGCTTTCAGGCTTTTAAATAAATCCATCATTAGAGTTGAGACTCCTGACATCAATTTAGACCAAGAAGATGAACAGCAAATGGAGGATCAAGAAGACCAAGATGGAGTCAATGGTAAATTATTTGTAGAGAGCTTTTCAAAGGGGAAAGTACCTCCAGTCTTTATAGCTTACCCTTTTTGAGTATACACTTCTCTTCAGTTTCCCACCTATTTCTCTTCTAACACTGTCTAGGAATCTTTATTCCTGCTACTAACTCCTGTTTCTTCAGCTTTTTTGTAGGCTCCACTTGCCTAGGTTGGTCAGTGCCACACTTTTTAGTGGGTCAGATTATTAGCCAGTTACACTATGTTGTAGAGTTAAAGCTAAGCACGTGTCCAAACAGGTGCAGCAGAACCTCCAGCTGGGGTTAATGGCCTTGTGAATGGGATCAATGGCCATTCTGAGGACACGAACAAGGATGGTGCACCAAAAGCTTCTCTTAGGCTGGGCTTCTCTGAATACCGACGAATTTCTAATCTTCTTGTGCTGCACCTCAGGAAAGCAGAGGAAGGTAAGGATTTGTTTGTTAAAAATATGGCAGACTGAGTTGTGTCAACGTGTGTGAACTGGCTCTTCATTAAAACAAATTCACCTGAAACTTAGAAGGTTTGCATTTTTCAGTGGTATTTGTTAAACGTTTCTGTGTTAAACATTTATACTCCAATTAAACCATGATAAAGCAGTCTCCTGTGCAAAGCATGGTGTTTTAAGAAGCACAAGAGAGCTATTGTGTGTTTATCTTTTCAACATTACAAATGTTAACATAGATACCCTTTTCTTTTATGGTTTGAAAATTATCTTACTGCTGCTATGTTTATGCAAATTATGTGGAATGGTATTGTAATCATTTTTTTAATGCTTTCCGTTTGCAGAAGAGGACGATTCATCATTAAAGAAGAGTGAACTTATTAATTGGTATCTAAAGGAAATTGAATCTGAAATAGAATCTGAAGAAGAGCTAATAAATAAAAAGAAGATCATAGAGAGAGTCATTCACCGACTTACACGTTATGTATGTATAAAAATGTGTGGATAGTGAAAAAGGGTTTTAATATATGGTACAATAACTCATTTTTAATAGATTTCTCTAATTTGAGAAATGTGTTTTGTGTTTCTATGTCATTGACTGATGCAGCATAATGCCATCTTTGTTTAATAACTGTTAAAATTCATCTCAGAGAAAACACTGAAATAAATTAGAGGTGTGTATTAGTACAAGTTTAAACTGCTATTATATTTTCTACTGTTTATTTATAGAAGCATAAGTGCTATTTTTCTGTATTTTTGTAGTTTCAGTTTTATTAGCACACAAATATTAACAAAACATTTTACTTACTTTAGGTTTTAGAGTGTCTTAAAATATTTCTCTGAAGTAGAAATCGTTACTTCCCAGGATCCAGTACATGCTCTGAAGTTACTTGTTTCACATTTGGGGATTTTTGTAAGAAAAAAATGTCAAAGTAGGAAAGAGATGGAATACTTCTCAATTTTAAAAGTATAAAAACACTAGAATGACGTATTCCCAGAAAGCATACTACATATAGGAGATTTCAACAATTACCTTCAGTGGTAATTAGGAACCTATTAAAGAGGGAGTTGACAGCTAAAAGGGTTGAATAATTTGTTAATTAGAGGTGCTACCAGCAGAAAAAAGGAGATTCTTTTTAAAAAAGGACAAACAAAACAGTCCTTTTCATTCTTGTCTGAATACAATTTTCTTGTCTGTTGCAGGACCACATTCTGATAGAGCTGTCTCAGTCAGGCCTGAGGGGTTCCAGAGAAGAGGAGACTTTTGATGAAGACCCATACCTGGTTGTCAACCCAAACTATCTGCTGGAAGACTAAAGGCAGAGATCTGGGTTGTAGAACAGACTCAGACTAGTTACGTGTTGGAAAACGCATTCTTTTCTGCATTCTTGCAATGGTTGTTACATAGCTATCTGATTCATATGAATGCTTTACTGTGTAACGCATCAATATGCAATTAATAATATATGATTGATTGTAGACACTGAGCATACCTGAAAATTTTTTAAAGTGCCATGTATTAGTTTCATTTTTAATTCTGTTTTCACTGCCATCGTCCAGATGCAGAGGAGGGTCACTCAACAGCTCTTTTTAGCATCAAGCTACGTAGATGCTTTGGTTTTAAAGGGGGGGAATTTTGTTCTATTCATTGTTCTTATTGTATTTGGTAAATTTTTTATACTGTAGATTTTAAATGTTTTTCTTAATAACATAAATAAAATATCATTAAATGTCTGGAGATCTCTGGGGGTGGATTTGTTGGTTCTGGTATGTGGGGATGTTGTTTCTATGCCTGTGCTTTGAAACTGAAAAGTCAGTGATCTAAACGCCTCATGTCTTAAGAAAGATTAAATTTCCCATATGACAGGCATTGTTTTTAAGAATTCCAGTAATAGATGATGAAAAACCGATTGCTTCTCTTTCTTTTCAGATGTAATAAGGATGTGTATGCTCCTGTTGCATATTTAAAATAGAAAATTAAAAATAGTCAAGTTCAAAGCAAAGCATTAAGTCAGGATGGCACCCCCCCAGCTTGAGGAGTATCTTGACTTGTAAGTGAATTGAAAAGTGCCATCATTTGTGAGGGATTTTAAAGTGTGTATTAGTAAACTTGCTTATAGATAATTCTATAAGAAAATTTTGCCTAAATTCCTATGGGTCTCTTCAGTCCTGTACAGTATGGGAATATTAAATTATTTATTAAGAATTACAAATACTTGAATATTTGTAAGTATTTGTACATACAAATACTTGAACATAGAAATATCTGAATTTCCAATTTAACTGAAGTTTCTGCATTCTAAAATAATGACTAGACTAAGTTACTTGGCAATTTAACTTTTCAAACTAGAGCAGTAAAGCAATGGCCAAATGTATCAGGCACTGTATGTTTTAATAAGGCCTTTTTTTGTTGGATCCTTTTGGAATGCTAAAAGCTGCAGTAAACATTTGGGTCTGTTTGAGTGTTACTGCAAGGCCAAGCTTTGCCCTTTAACGTCCTAGGAATTTGTTGGTAGTTCAATAGGGTACCAAAAGAGAACAAAATTTGAGCTGAAAGAAAACATTCTAAGCTGATTTTGTGACCATTTCCTTGTTTGTTTCAACTCATGGTGGATAAGGAAATAACTAACTCCAGTCTGAATGTTAGCAGGATTTCAGAACAATGCTGTCACCCCAAGGGAACAGAGTACTTCTCATGCACTTCTGAGGGGTAAATATTTTCTTAAGGTGCAGTGTTTTTTTGTTTTTTTGTTTTTTTTTTTGTTTTTTTTTGATGTATCCTCTGGGATTAATGCCTTAGTTTCTTTTCCAGCACACCATCCTGCATTTGCCGAGACTGGGAATGTTCTCATTCCTTTCCATGATGTATCCAGTTAGCAGCCTTTCACATGGAGAACTGTCATGTTAGGAGTTCTACATCAGGAATTCTTTGAGCTGTACTGGAGGTGATACTTATCTATGGGTTTTGGAAGTCTTTTTGTTAGTTTACATTTGATTAGTAATTCTTATTTATTTAATCATTCATTCACAGTCCTCAGTAGTTTTTATTAAAATTTGAAATCAATCCAATTGAATTGGATGCCTGCTCGCATCAACAGATTAATCTTGTGAACTCAAACTAGCGGGCATTAATTCTATATGCAGTAATGTTGCTCTGCTAATATTTTTCATAAACTGCATCTTGGCAAATGCTTCATTGCATTAAAAAGAACTACCCACCTGCAACAAGTCTTATTTCATTCTATATTGTTCATAACTTACTTTTAAAATAAGGACAGGGAAAGAAATATTTGTTCTTCATTATATGTTCCTTCTTCCCCTATTCTGATCTTTGTTAATAAGCATTTGTATTAATGCTTATTAATGCTTGTAATAATTGTATTAATCTTGTAAGGAGAAAGTAAGTGGGTTTTTTCTACTTCTTTTCCCCACAGGTCTATAAGTTCCATAGGTTGAGAGGGGTCTTCTCTTTCTGGAATTAACACGGCTGTACTGAGAAATCAGCAGCAGGTGGTGCTGTAAAGTTCCTAGTCAAGCTTGTCAAATCCACTAGAGGAAAAAAAAAAAAAAAAGTACTTATGCTTTCAGAACAGCAAGCACAATGTTTCAGGAAGCTTTTCAAGGCTTCTTAATATAAAATAGTTGGCTGAGAATCAAATAGTCAGTCCTTGTATAAGCAAGGAGGTTGGCTGTTGGGAGTAACAGCAGAAGCTGAGAGAGTTTCTACTATGACTTAAATAACAAAGAAAAGATTGCTTGAGAACATATATTGCCCAAATGATTCTATCGGTATTTTAGACAAAAACTATTGGTATTTTAGACAAAAAATGGGACTGACTTTTCAATATGGTTTCAATATAGTTTATGTAGGATTTTATTTAGTTAATTTAAACATGTTCTGCACTTAGGCAGCACAGACGGCAGTTCCAGGCAAATGTTCTCAGCTCTTCCATTTTGCTGTATTTGGATGTAGAAAAGTAGAATTATCTCCTCCTGCAGCAACCTAGGTAGGCGATCTGTGTGAGTGCATGCCTTCTCAAGGCTGAAGGAGGGAGTACTTTGGAAAGCAATAATATTATATTATTTGAATTTCCTGATATTATTAGAATGGGAACACATGTTGCTGCTGCCTGAATTCATGTAACAACCACTTTTCCAAGGGGGTAAGATGCCACCTCTCAGATTTCCTTCACGAACCCAAGAACAGCACAAAATGAGCCTCCCTCCCCTTCTGCTCACCTGAGTGGTTGGTGGCACCCAGCCCCATCAAAGCAGGTAATTGGTTTTGTTATTTTTGCATCCAGAACTGTGCTAGAATTGCTTTTAAACCAAACCAAAACAAAAAAAAGGCAAGGAGATGAAAAGCATTGTCTACTTACTTTCTCTTCCTCTGAAATGGAAGTGGTGTCAGCGAGTGTCAATTTATGTTCAAGTATAAAGGGAAACCTGCATGTTGCAGAAAATGAACCCAGTGTTTCCCCATGACCTTTCTCCAAATTATTGCTTGACAGATCTGTTTATCATAAAAAGATATTCATCTATTTATTCAGTTGTTCGTCTGTTAACTGAAAGTCCTGATTTGTTATCATTTGAGTGTCAGCTGGTTCTGGGAAGGCTTATCTGTGTAATAGATAATTTTGGTTAAATATTACTTCTACTATAATATAAATAGGATGGACTAACTTTGCGAAGCAGATCCAGAAATGGAGCTGGTTTATAGGATAGTTGTCTTTTTCATGTTAGCCTGTCCCAGCTTTGGGATCAATGGGGAGTTAGCTCAGATCTCTGTGGCCATTGCTGGACCTCTACCCAGGGAGTTTGTACATAGACTCCAGCTGCAAAACCACATCCTAACCAAAGAAGCTCCAGGCCCTGCTGTGGCTGAAGCCAGCGATTACCCTTGCCAACAAGATCCTGCGACTTCCGAGCTGCCCCAGTACTTTTCCCACCTTCATGAGGTTGGGGTGACGCATTACAAAATCTTTTTGCCGTGGGAGCGCATTCTTCCCAAGGGGGATGCCAGAAAGCCAGACGAAGCTCAAGTGCAGTGCTACCAGCAGCTGCTCAAGACGCTGGTTGCTGCAAACCTCAGGCCGGTGGTAGTTCTGCATCACAAGCACATCCCTGGCAATGTGGCCGCACAGGCTGCAGGCAACAAAACCAACGCTTTTGCTGACCTTTTTGTGGACTATGCAGAGTTTAGTTTCAATGTTTTTGGGGGTCTGGTTGATGTGTGGCTCACTTTCAGTGACCTGCCAGAGGTCTTGAAAAGCCTGCCTTACGATGAGCCCCAGCTCCGTGTCCAGGCTCTTGCTGCTGCTCATGAGAGAGCCTATAGTGTCTACCACGAGAAATACTCACTGGCAGGTAAGAATAGGCAGAGGGATTTTTGTGTATGACCTTTTCACAAAATAGTTTGTAATGAGATTAAATGGCAACTGCTACATGTAATCTCTGAATGTGCTGTCAGTGCTCTCAGAATTGCATAGGAATACTTGAGTAACAGGTTCCTTCAAATACCTTATTTTGATATTTTTTTTATGATTCCTGGTAATTCCATTTTACTTGATATCCAAAGTAGTTGTGGAGAATGTAGGCATGTATCTCTGTGTGTGTATTTATATATAATTTCTCATTTAACTGAAATGCAGTGTGTCAAGTAAACCAACAAGAAATAGTTACTTTTAACCTAAAAGGAAAATAAAATATCTTTTTTTTTTTTTTTTTTTTTAATTAATATGTGTGTACGTTAACAAAGCTCTAACGATCAAGCTATTTTGTAGATGGTAGTAGCTTCAGAACACAGGCCTCATAGAATAGTTTGGGTTGGAAAGGACCTTCAAGCTCATCCAGTTCCAGTCCCCCTGCCCTGGGCAGGGACACCTCCCACCAGCCCAGGTTGCCCAAAGCCTCATCCAGCCTGGTCTTGGGCACTGCCAGGGATGGGGCAGCCATGCCTATTGGGGCAGCCTGTGCCAGTGCCATGTTCTACTGTCAGTTTGCAGGTTTTGTATTCACGTACTTTCCTTATATTTTGTGGGGTTTTGTTCGTTTGTTTTGGGGCTGTCTCTGTTTCTGTCTTTTTTTTTTTTTTTTTTTTTCCTCTGTGGTCCAGCACAGAATGGGTATTTAAAAATAAACCACCATAGAAAAACCACAAAGGCATGAGAATTATTATTATTATTATCCATGGAGTGGAACGGTTCCTGTTGGATGGCTGTATTCAGGTCTTATTCAGATCCTGCAAACAACATTGTTATTGCTCCTCATGAACATCTTAAAGATTCACTGAAAAAGACTCTTTGGGCTCTGCCTTTGAATTTCTACCTTCTGCAACTCTCTATTGATAAAATAATGGATGTTCTGAAATCAGCTATCTAGGGCACTGACTGATAATCCACAAATTCAAAAAGTTCCAACTGATTTTAAAGTAACTACAGCAACCCAAAATTCTTCATCTGTACTTAATGCACTACTAATAGATTGTCTCCTTTTCTTCAAGGTGGAAAGCTGTCCATTGCTTTAGGAATGGATCATGGCTTGGATAGTGCTTCATCAGAGCTGCTTTCAGTTTCTCTTCAGGTAACACCTTAATGGAATGATTTCCAAAATTATTTTCATTTTATTTCATTTCACTTGATTTGTATGCACAAGATCAAGTGGCCTATTGCAAGTTAAATACAATTTCAGCAAACTGACCAATAGGGTAAAATCTATTTTTTTTGATCAGTTCAATCATGAAGCTTTTTTGTAAAAGCTTTGAAGTACTCTTAAAATACTTCAACCACATGTTGAAATATTTAAAAAAAATGCTTCAACATACCTTCTTGGCTAGTGAGCAGTGGTAAAAATATATGGGAACATATTTCATAATTGGCAATTTTAGCAACATACATGCTTAAATAACGTATACCCATTGCTCTTTTATTCACAAGTCTACTTAATGATCAACCAATTAAAAAAAAACTTTTTTTTTTTTTCAGTATCTTTTTAAAAATAGTAGTTAATATGTTAAAGCACAGCCTGAGCTCTGATACAAGTGGTCTAGTTGTACAGGGGTAGCACAATATGAGGAAAACCTATTTTCTACAAAGATGATGACATCCTTTGTGTAAAGACCAAACCCTCTATCAGTACTTCTTTTCACCTAGATAACGTTGACATGGGATGCAGTGAACAAATGCCAGTGCAGGTTTTTGGCTTATATTCACAGTCCTTCAAAATTCAATGATAGGATAAGTGGTGACGCAGGCATGACATTTCAGCGATATAAGCAAGGTGTGGTTTGTATGGGGAGGAAAGAAGTACTAAATGAGCTGACTAAACTGAAAAAAAAAAAAACAAAAAAACAAAAACAACCTTGGACTGAAAAATAAACTGGAAGCTTATCAATTTTTTATGCCTACTTCAGCAGCTGGTTTAATAAAAGAATACTATCTATTCCCTTGAATATAATGACCTTTAGCGGAGTAGCATTGGTAGCGTGCAACGGTTAAAGATTCCTGAAGTGGACTTCCTGCAGAGGATTATTGATAAAGCCTCCCTGAACCACATGCTGATAAAGGTTTCTCTGCCTGCTTAGTCTCTGAGTAACCAATCTTACTGATTTAAAAAATCAGTTGTAATTCAGGAATATTAAATGCACAAAATGTTCTTACAACTTCATTTAATTCTTCAAAATTTAGTATTGTTGTTTAGGACAGACATCTCTCCATACACCACCCAGTTTGTACTCATTGTATTGTCCCACATAGCTGTGTGGCTTCTTACTTCAGCAATGTACCTGTATCTAACATTTAACAATTTTATATTTTGAACAGAATACCTGCAAAAAAAAAATAAATCTCCAGGATGATTCTCTTCCTTTTCTTGTTTCCAGGATTCGGTAGACTTTCTATCTCTCAACCTTCAGTACAGTTGTGGAAAAGAAACAGATTTCTACATGCAAATGAGTGAATTCCAGGTACCATTATGAACAGTGTGCAAATGAGCATTTCACTTCATGGCTACCTTGGGGAATTGAAGTTCTAGTAATAGAGGAGAACAGATAGAACAAATCCATCGCTGTTCTTAGAATTCTGCTGAACCTCATAGACCATCTATAACACGTTATTTTGCAAAGAGATCAGGTACAGGACTTTAAACTGTATTCAAAGTAATTGACCATTAATTTACTGTCTTAAATCCTTCAGCATCGAGGTATATGTAGTCCACGTGTCTGCACAAACGAGCACAGAGATTATATGCCACGCCTCAGGATCATGCAGCATAGGTAATAGCAGCCTGAAAAGGAGTATGCCAGGCTCTACCTTAACTCTCTTTGCTTCGTGTATTTGTGGCAGGTCGCTTATTCCCTGTAAATGATAAAGTGTTGGCCTGGCCAGAAGTGTGCTGCAAGAAGAGGAGACTCCCCACAGAGCATCTCTGGAACGCTTGTGTTTCTTGATGCGTGTCTAAACAGTTCTGATTGCTGTGAGAGCTCAGGCAGCAGCTACACTATGAAACAGCTGCATACAGCTCACTGTAACTTCCCCGTTGTTTTTCTGACTTAAAGACAGGTGTTTAAAAGTGTTGACAATGTTTTTGGTCAGCGATCATTATTGATGCATTAGTAACTGAACAGGTATAATTCTTCTGTCCAGGACTGGAAAACCTCTATCACATCCTAAAGATATGATATATGATTTGGCTAATACCTTTACACAAAAAGATCTTATTTTATTCTAGCACTGGTTCTGCAACTATAATACCAAAACTCACAAGTCCTCATCAGTAAAGGCAATGCTAGAAACATTAATTAGGACAAATTTGTGAAAGGATTAGATCACATAGCAGCAATAATGGCAGTGATGTTATAGGCTAGTACCTGATATTATACATCTGAGTGTGAATTGCATTCTTAAAATACGTAAGAAAGTCATGCAGCACCCGATGAGCAGAATAAGGAGCTATTTGACTCATTAGCTCTAGGGTTGCATGCTGGAGTGGTTCAAACATTGACAGCAAGATACTACTTCGGAGCTTTTCAAAGGGAGGTCAAACTAAAAGTGTCTGGGGTTTATGCTTTGATTTGCATTGGGCTTTTTTGGATCAAAGTGGGGGATGGTATTTAATGCTTACTCTGTTTTATGAATTTAATTCTGAAGAACGTTATTGCTAATTCTCAGACTTCTAGATGTTTCCTGTTCTGTGTTAAAAGAACAGATGCCAAGAACAGGGTTTTACTAGCTGGCCATTGTTTATTTTCATACAGTTCTTTGTTATAATTTTGTTTTTGCAGAATCTCTGGAAGGACATAGAGATCTTGATTTTCACTCTAAAATTCCTTGACTGTGGTTCCCTGGAAGAGAATCCATTCATACGAGTAGCTGCCATCGTCACAGGTGAGTGACCTATTTCAAGGAGTGGTAGAGTTTTGTATTTAGGCTCTGAATGGGAAACTATAGAATTGTCCTGTCCAGACCGCTGCTATTAGACAAAATAATTTCATAGCTTCTTTCATAACCCTCTTGGAATATAAAAATATATATCTAAAGCATATAAAAAGTATAAAAATGTAAATCTAACATACTGGATTTGAGAAAAAAGAGCTATTATTACTTATTTAAAAACAAACAAACAAAAAAACCCACAAATATACTCTTATTTCAAAAGGTGTAACTATATGTTCAAGTGGTGTCATGCAGTCTGTCATCTCATTTGTGACTAAGCCCATCGCTTATTGTGTGTTTTCAGCTCTTAATAAAGAAAAAGCACGTACAATTGGGTATGATGTGAGTGAACTATTGGACTTCTCATCTCGTGTTTTAAGGTACAGTTTTTCTCCCTTAAATCAGATACTGTAATAAAGAGGTGTCCTCTAGGGACAAATACGCTAGGCAGATATATGACAGTTTTGGTGGTAAAATCTGCTGATAGTTGCTGAAAGGACTTGAAAGGAATTAAGTACATAAAATAACATCTGTCCTAGGAGAGAAGCTCATTGTGCCCCCAGAGATGCCTTCATCTGCCAGTGGGGTGGCAGGAGATTGGATTGATCAGATTACAAAAGGACTGTACCTTAAGTGGCAAATAAGCTGAGTGGGAAGCAAACAACTCTTTTATCCTCCTTGTTTGCAAGTTCTTTGGCATTGGCATCTACCTTGGAGATTGTAATTCCTTTTTATTCTGTTTTCAGCAAAGCCAGTACTCTACAGGAGAACCCAGATGCAGTTCTCACCCCTCGCTCCTCCTATCAAACAGTTTGGGAAATGTTTGCTAGCCAGTCTGAATTGGAGAGGGATTCTTTTCTGCAAGATGTTTTCCCGAGCGGTTTCCTCTGGGGCGCCTCCACGGGTGCCTTTAATATTGAAGGAGCTTGGGCAGAGGATGGGAAAGGAGAGAGCATCTGGGATCGGTTTGGGCATGAAGGCCATGTCTACATGAACCAGACAACAGACGTGGCGTGTGACAGCTACTATAAAACCAGCTATGATGTTTACTTGCTGAGGGGTCTTCATCCCCAGCTGTACAAATTTTCTATATCCTGGCCTAGAATTTTCCCCACTGGCACCAATGAGACCATCAGCTCCAAGGGCGTGGATTATTACAGCCGGTTAATTGACAGGTTGCTGGATGCTAACATTGAGCCCATGGTGACTCTGTTCCACTGGGACCTCCCACAAGCTCTCCAGGTTCTTGGTGGCTGGCAGAATGACAGCATCATAGATGCTTTTGTGGACTACGCAGACTTCTGCTTTGCCACTTTTGGGGATCGGGTCAAGCTCTGGATTACTTTCCACGAGCCTTGGGTTATCAGCTATGCTGGCTACGGCACCGGCGAGCATCCTCCAGGAATCGCTGACCCAGGAGTCGCATCTTACAAGGTAGGGATGCAGGAATCCTGCAGCTGCCATTCTTGTGTTGTTCTCTGATTCTGTACTTTTAACTATGTGCAAGCCTAATGAGGCCTCTGAGACAGTTATCTGCCTGTTGGATTTTTGATACTCCCCAGGAAATGGGGTAGTTCATGGATATTAGCTTTTATTTTCCATTCTGAAATCAGCCAGATTCTTACGCTTAATCCAAACCCCACAAAGCAGTGTGACACACAGCCATCCCTCTGCTCTCTGCCCCCAGGTGGCTCACACAATTCTCAAGGCTCACGCCAAGGTCTGGCACCTGTACAACGACAGGTACCGTTCTCAGCAACAGGGAAAAGTGGGGCTGGTGCTGAACTCAGATTGGGCTGAACCCAAGACTCCAACCAGCTCCGAGGATGTGAGTGCATCGGAGCGGTACCTGCAGTTCATGCTCGGCTGGTTTGCTCACCCCATATTTGTTAACGGTGATTACCCAGACGTCCTGAAGGCTCAGATCCAGCAGGTAAACCAGCAGTGCTCCACGACAGTTGCACAGCTGCCTGTGTTTACGGAGGAGGAGAAAGCCTGGGTGAATGGGACCGCAGACTTTTTTGGTCTTTCCCATTACACCTCCTACCTGGTTAGTGCCGTGACTAATGGGACCTGCGCACCAGGCTACGAGAGCATCGGGAACTTCTCCTTGCATGTGGATCCTGCGTGGCCAAAGACTGCCTCTGCTTGGATCCACGTGGTCCCCTGGGGATTAAGAAGGTTGCTGAAGTTTGTGTCCCAGGAATACACCAGGGCAAAGATCCCAATTTACATAGCAGGAAACGGTGTGCCCACAGAGCCCATAGGGGATCATATTAATGACACTCTGCGAGTAGATTATTTCCGCCGGTACATCAATGAGGCTCTGAAAGGTACGGATTTGTTTTTTTTTTTTTTAATTTTAAGTAAAGGCAACTGGTTAATCCATCTCTTCCGCCATGATTAACTTTAAAACATCACCATTTGTGTGGGGCTATGGAACTCCCCATTGTTTAGGTCATGCAACAGGTCTTTCATACATGCAGACAAATACAGCCTGGATCCTAAAGCCATTCTCTGTGAGAACAATGTTCGTTATTTCAGCTCTCCTGAAGATAACCTGACTGCAGGCAGGCCCTTACCTACAGAGATCTCATAGATCAGGACTGAATGAAGTCTTCACTGACAAGGCAGATATAACTGACAGCGTCCTGCACCACTGAGGGTTAGAATTTTTAGGGAGATGTTTGGGTCTCAAATATTTTGAGTAAAGTTCAAGGTATGACTGTATCTTTGCAAACTGTATCCAAGTGATGCAAAAAATAATGCTTGTGACTGAAGTTCTGGACAACTATAGATCTGAGACTTCAAATAAAGATTTTACTGTTCCTCTCTTCAGATACACAAATCAATAGCATCAGAAGACTTTATTAAATATGTTGTATTAAGTATGTTGGTGATCAGTATAGAGCTTTTGATCTTCTTTACCTAGTTCCTAACAGACTGATAGAAGAGCTATGAGGGAGCTCTTCTACAGGGCACAAGAGTCCTGTATTCAAATATTTCTCTTCTGATGCATTTTAATCACTCAGCTTTTGACCAGCTCCTATGGCAGTGCTGACTGCTCTTCTTGCCAGGTGCTCTAATTGTTTTGTTTTGTTTTCCCTGGAAGTCCATTCCCAATTGTTTGGCTATCGCCCCGTTACCCTCTGCTGTAGTGCTTGTGTTAGGCGATGATGTGTTCAGAAAATGTCCTGTTGACTAACAGTCTTGTGCTGTTTCTGTGGCAGCGGTGAAACTAGACACGGTTGACGTCCAGTCATACATTGCTCGATCACTGATTGATGGTTTTGAAGGCCCGGTGGGGTACAGCCAAAAATTCGGGCTACATCATGTGAATTTTGAAGACAGCAACAGAGCAAGGACTCCCAAGGCATCCGCTTATTTCTATGCCAGCGTTATTGAAAAGAATGGTTTCCCACCCCAAGTCTCAAACAGACTCCCTGCGCCGGTGATGTTTGACCTACCCGTGCCGTCAAAGTTGCCAAATTTACCAGCATCAGAAGTTCCCTCCAAGTCCAAGGTTGTCTGGCAGAAGTTTTCATCTCAAACAGACTTTGAAAGGGACATGTACTTTTATGGGACGTTCCCGGAGGACTTTCTGTGGGGTGTGTCTTCTTCTGCATACCAGATAGAGGGAGGCTGGGATGCTGATGGCAAAGGGCCCAGCATCTGGGATAACTTCACCCATGTGCCAGGGAATATAGTTAACGACGACACTGGCGATGTAGCTTGCGATAGCTACAACAAGCTGGAGGAAGATATTTACCTGCTGAGAGCCTTAGGGGTAAAGAACTACCGTTTCTCTCTGTCCTGGCCTCGAATTTTCCCCACTGGAAGGAACGACTCAATAAATAGACATGGAGTTGACTACTACAACCGCCTCATTGACGGGCTGGTGTCAAACAACATCACACCAATCGTCACCCTCTACCACTGGGACCTGCCCCAGGCTCTCCAGGACATCGGTGGCTGGGAGAGCACTTTGCTGATTGAACTCTTTGATAGTTTTGCAGACTTCTGTTTCCAGACCTTTGGGGACAGAGTGAAGTTCTGGATCACATTCAACGAACCCCAAGTCATTGCATGGGTTGGCTACGGCCTGGGGGCATTCCCACCCAACGTCAAAGACCCCGGGAGCACTCCCTACAAGGTGGGACACATCTTGCTGAAAGCTCACGCCAGGGTGTACCACACGTACGACGACAAATACAGAGCAAGCCAGGGAGGGGTCATTTCTCTGTGTCCCAACATTGACTGGGCTGAACCGAAGACACCGAGTGACCCCAGGGACCTGGAAGCTGCAGACAGGTACTTGCAGTTCTTGGTGGGGTGGTTTACCCACCCAATCTTCAAAAACGGGGACTATCCTGAGGTCATGAAGTGGAAAGTTGGGAACAGGAGCGAACTGCAGAACCTGCCATCATCCCGCCTACCCGTTTTCACAGCTGAGGAGCGTGACTACATCCGGGGCACAGCAGATGTCTTCTACTTCAACACCTACACTTCCAAAATCGTAACCCATAAAACGACCCCTCTGAAGCCCTACTCTTACGAGCACGACCAGGAAGTTTCGACAAGTATTGACAGCTCCTGGCCTTCCTCAGCACTTTCTGAACATAAGGCTGTGGCCTGGGGGCTGAGGAGGGTGCTGAACTGGATCAAGGAGGAGTATGGCAATCCCCCGATATACATCATTGAGAATGGGGTGGGGATAAATAGCAGCTCGGATGTTGATGACCACACCAGGATCCTTTACCACAAAACATACATTGATGAAGCTTTAAAAGGTACAAACCTTTGCTTTTGTTCTCTGTCTGGTGACTCCTCTAGATTCTCCATCACATCTTCCCCTGACAGGTGGTTTTTAAAAGCAGCTGTTAGCAGTCTTTGAACATCCTGAATGCAACATAAACGGTGATTTTTTATGCTCTCCTTTGCATGGCCATTTGTATCCTCTGACTGTGAGGTCTTTCATGATTTTTCTGGTCTAGTGCCAGTCAGCTTTGTGAAGCTGGCAGTGTGTGTGTGTTTGCCAGTGACTTCCTTGTGGTTCCTTCAATGCGCGATGTATTACTGATGCTCTTCTGTTGCTTCTGGTCTTTCAGCTTACAAGCTCGACGGTGTTAATCTGCGAGGATACAATGCTTGGTCTTTTATGGATAACTTCGAGTGGTTGAATGGCTATGATTCAAGATTTGGGCTGCACCAGGTTGATTTTGATGATCCCAACAGACCAAGAACCCCAAAGCGCTCGGCTGTGTACTACGCAGAAATCATCCGCAATAACGGCATCCCGCTGCCCAAGGAGGATGAGTTTCTCTACGGGGAGTTTCCAAAGAACTTCTGGTGGAGTGTAGCGACAGCAGCGTACCAGGTTAGGAAATGAGGGCTGACTCTTGGGGTACCGGTAGGCCGTTAATTCATTTTGGATGAGACATCCACAGCTTCTGTGACATTAGGTTCTACGGTAATTGGGGGTTGCTGTAAAAACTGCCTGACTTATCTCCAAGTTCTTCCCTTCTAATGGCGTGGTTATACCACAGGAATTGAGATAGCAGCATGGGCTTCACAGGAACCAGCAAACACCGAGCAGCGGGTTGAACTGCCACAACACCTCCCCTGTGACACTGCACTTCAGTAAAACTTCTGTGCTATGGGGCCCAAGAGCTCTTACTAGTTTGGTGCAGCCAACGTTACAACAGATCATGTGGTGCCACAAAGGCCAAAAGGCTGAATTCTTTGCTGGGCCAAGATGTAAATCTGGTGTTGTTAATGATTTCTCCCGTTCCCTCCTCCATCTTCAATTACAGATTGAGGGAGCATGGAGAGCAGACGGGAAAGGACTTAGCATTTGGGACCAGTTTTCTCACACTCCCCTGAAAATCAGCAATAATGACAATGGGGATGTGGCTTGTGACAGCTACCACAAGATTGAGGAGGATGTGGAAATGCTGAAAAACCTCAAGGTGTCTCACTACCGCTTTTCCATCTCCTGGTCCCGTGTTCTCCCAGACGGGACCACCAGCTACGTCAATGAAGCGGGACTGAACTACTACGAAAGGCTGATTGACGCACTTCTGGCAGCCAACATAATGCCGCAGGTAACTGTGAACGTGGAAATCCAGGAGTGCAGGAGCTGAGAATTATCCTGATGTTGAAAGATTAGATAGTTTATCCCTGTGTTCTGATCCCCATGCGGGAAACCCTCACTCCTTACAAACTTCCCAGGCTGTTCAAGACCCGTTAAGACCCGTTGATGTGTAGGCCAGTAGCAGAACCCAAGTCTGACACTCAGAGCACGGGTGTGTGTTTAAGTCTACTCCCTCCTTCACAGAGAATTTTTTTTCATTGTGTAAACATGTTTTTTGAACAGCTAAATGTGCTAGGAATTTAGGGATACATTCACAATTACTACCCAGGAGATCACAGTAGCCTTACTGCTGGCTGTTACCAAACACCCTGCTGTTTCCCAAGTCCCACCAACCTGTTGCCTCCCCACTGCTGGCTGGGTCCCCCCAAACCACTCTAGAAAAGGTGCTCATCTGGGGAGGGCGAGGCAAGGAGGTTGTTCTGTGCTTCTGACACTGTGCAGCTTCTCAGCAGCCCACCCAAGTTTTCTCAGAGCTTTTTTCTTGCAGTGGACTTGCAGAATTGGGAGGGCTTTGGCCTTTCTTTTTTCCTAAAAGCCCAAGCGGTGCTTTTATGTGCCTTCTGCACTGCTGGCCCTTGTTCCTGCTTACTAGGCACTTGCTTTTTGAGTTATAGCTCATTAAGAAACTCCTTGCTTAGCCCTGAAGGCTTTCTGTCAGCTTGGACTCTGGTCCTAAGTTAGAGTGTTTGGGTTCCTTGCTGGGAGTGCTTTGGTTAATATGTCACTGACACATTTGTCACATATTTGGTTAATATGTCAATAAGTTGTAGGATTAGTGTCACTGAAATGGAACAGTCCCTCCTAATGGGAATTTTTTTACAGAGATTAATGAATTTTATAGGAATTTGGTATTTAACACGATTTGGATGTGTTCTTGGGAGAAGAATAAGTTATACAAAGTGTATAGTTATAAATTAATTCTAAAGTTATAAATAAATTATAAAGTTATAAATAAGCTACAAAAATGTACCTACTTACAGGTGGGATGAGCAAGTGTAAGAGATAATTACAGATGTTCTTGTTGTGTAGAACTGTTTTACTCATTTGTTCATGGTTTTGCCAAGTTCCTACTCTATTGAAATGAAGAAGAAACAGCCTTTTTCTAGCTGCAGATCCCAGCAGGGTTTATGCTTGGAAATGAGGCTGGTTTGTTGTCCCTATCCCTGAAGGGAAGGAATGATTGGCTGAGCCCTTTCTCTGCTCGCTCCCCACAGGTGACCATCTACCACTGGGACCTCCCACAGGCGCTGCAGAACGTCGGCGGGTGGGAGAACGATACCATAGTTCAGAGGTTTAAGGAATACGCCGAGCTGCTTTTCCAGAGGCTGGGAGATAAGGTGAAGTTCTGGATCACCCTCAATGAACCCTACAACACGGCATATCTCGGCTATGGCTTTGGGACAGCTGCTCCAGGTGAGGCTGCTGAGCACGGTTTCAAAGCTTTGCTGAGGCAGTATCTCAGCCCTGGGCTGGGCCTCAGGGCCCCAGGTGCTGCACATTGCATTTAATAGCAGGCAGCTGGTTTATTTCTCTCAGAGGAGGGCAGCTCTGGGTGTCCTGGATGTGTTTACCTGGGAGGAAGCAAAAGGGGAAGCTGGGGATGGCTGCTCCAGCACCTGAGCTGTCGCTGTCTCTGCAGGAATCTCTGTTAGGCCGGGGCGAGCCCCTTACATAGTGGGGCACAACCTGATAAAGGCCCATGCAGAAGCCTGGCACCTGTACAATGAGACGTACCGGCCCAAACAGGGAGGATTGATCTCCATCACCATCAACTCGGACTGGACAGAGCCGAGGAACCCCCACAAACAGGAGGACTGGGATGCTGCCAGGCGCTACCTGCAGGTAGGAGGCACGCAGGCAGCCCCAGCTCTCCTGGCTGCTCGCGGAGTGTTCAGGTTGGCATCTGGAGCTGCCCAGAGCCCAGGCTGGCATCTCAGATACATTTCCTTGCTTCTCTAATACACCACCTTCTTCTGGCAGCTGGTTGAGAATGCAGTGGAACTGAGACAAAATATGACTGCAGTTCCAGCTTATTCAATTTGTTGTCGTTACATGGACATCCCTGCGTATCTCTTTGTGCTTGTTCATTATAAATCTGGTACTACGTGTAAAAGCAGCAAATGGAGAGGAATGGTGAAGGCCCTTGTTTTTATACCTAATTTAAACTTATTTCCTGGGTTAGTTTCTCATAGGTTGGTTTGCTCACCCCATTTTCAAAAACGGTGATTACAACGAAGTGATGAAAACAAGGATTCGGGAGCGCAGCCTGGCTCAGGGTCTGAAGCAGTCTCGGTAAGAGCACAGGCACACAGGTGCTCTCATGTTCCCTGCTGTGCTGAAACCTGCTTTTCTGATGGTGCTGTTAAGTGGAAGGATTCTGGTGAAATGGTGCGGTAAAAATCTGTCCCCTCAACGGGAAAACTGTTTGTTTTTTCTGGTCCTTGTCTTTACCTCTCTTGCAAACTAAATTTACTAATATGAATAAATCTCTCTCTAAGCTCCAACCTGTGGGGTACTAGGTTGGCAGCTCAGAATGAGGTAATGAATGATCCGCATTAGATGCTGTGATTTGCCTGACAGTGATAAATGTGCTTTAATCGTTCATAAAATGATGTACTGAACTCATCGGTGCCTCCGAATTACATTTCTAGTTTGCCATTCCAGTTAATTATGTGTAACCCTATTTCACTATCCGTGTTGCAGTGTGAATGTTTTTCCTTTTTTCTCTCTTTCTAGACTCGTACCAGGAAAGCACTTTTTCTTTCTCCCTCTTGACTCTAATAACAATTTCTTGGGGGTATGTTAGGTGTGGGGGTATTACTGATCAGTCCTTTCTGATAAGACCCCTTGTTCTGAAATGAGGGAGGTGACAGAAGAGTTGGTGTGTGCTCTGCAGCAAAGACAGGGCTCTTCAAGACTTAAATCTTGTTTTTATGCGCCTAAAATATTTGAATTCTTGAGCATTTTTTAAAATGTTATTTCTTCTGTGGTGGTTGCTACCACAAATAAGAGCACAGTCACTGTGTGTTGCCTTATGAGTTGAAGTGTGCAAGTGTCTCTGTCTGGGGAAGAAGTCCTGTCCTCAGCCTAAGAGCGAACTCTCAAGCATCACCGAATTGCCAGGAGTGCACGTTGAGCAGTGGTTGCCTAGGGACTGAATTCCCAAAAGAATTTTCTCTCTTTTCTGGCTAAAAGAGAACTGAAAACTCTCCCTTGCTCCAGGGCACCCTGGATGTTCCTGACTGTTTCTTGCTCTCTCACCACAGCAGTGATCATGTAGAGCTGAGATCCCAAAGGTTCTCTGAGGCCTCCCTTTTGGAGGGAACCAAGTGCTTTGGGGATTAACTAGCAGAGCTCCCCTGACCCGGGCTAGTTACCAGTTTCTTCTGGGTTTTCCCGTCTTCCTCCAAGAAGATCAGGGTGCAGCTCTCTGCTGCGCTTCTCCTGTGCTCTGCGTTTCTTCACGGCTGGGGGCCTTGGCCACGGCCACATTGTTCCAGCTCCCTTCTGGGTGATCCAGCTGAACATGGAGTAGGTCCCCAGGTCACCAGTACAGAAGTGCCTCCCACCTCATCTGATTTTCTCAGCTGTAGAGCTTGTTTGTGTTGTTTCTTTTCAGCACTGCTCTGACTCCTGCTGAAAGCCACTTTATATCTTTACTTGAAAGCCTCTTGCCCCATGCAAATGCACCTATAAACACGTTAGCTACTTTCCTTCATCATTCCTTTGTGCTTTTCAACATCTCGGTGTTACAGCCCACAAACTGCTTCAGTGAAGACAAACCCTGTGCCAGTTTAACCTTTCTGGGTCCCAGAATAAAGGGATACAGGGACGAAGTCACGTCAGTGTTACAGGTGCTCTTAGGGAAAGTTTCTGACTTCTCTGACTCCAAGGTACTTCTGAGCTCAAGCACAGCAAAAGAAAACAGCAGGACTGGTAAAGAACAGCCTTGTCTTTAGTTCTGTTGTCTGCTCTAGAGCAGGTGTTAGTGGGTCGTGGAGCCCCGTGGCTGTCAGCAGCTCTGTGCTGAGGTTGTGTTTCTGTCACTACCTTTTATTTGAGTGTGAACCATGCAGGGTTTCGCTTCCAGTCAGTGGAAGGTCCGCTCCTCTCCTGGGGAACTCTACATCAGGCAACGTGAATTGCCTGAGTTCTAGCAAAAGCTTCATTTAGTTAGCCACCGGGACCGAGGGAGGGGTAGAAACAAAAGAAGGGGAAATCCTGAAAAGAGCTGCATTTCTATGGGTTTATGCTTTTTCTCTGTTTTCTGTTGCAGACTTCCAGAATTCACTGAAAGTGAAAAGCAAAGAATTAAAGGCACATATGACTACTTCGGTCTAAATCACTACACTACGGTTTTAGCATACAACTTTAATTATTCTACTGGGATCCTGTCATACGACTCTGACAGGTAAGATATAAATGTACGCTACTGGTCAAGTCAAATGTGCGTGCCTGGAGCCTGGGCCAACTAAGCAATATAAACTAACAGCACATAAAGCCATGAGAGATTTATTAGGCTCTTATAACCAATACTAGGGAAAATATCCCCAAACAATACCCGTGATGCTATTATTTTCACAAAAGCCCCTTCTTTATGACCCAAAATGAATGGTTAAAACAGAACAAGAAAAATTAGAGCATCTACTAAAAGGAAGGAATCAGCTCTTCTGAGTCTCCTCCCACCTGGTATCAGCTCTCAAGAGTATTTATTGTATTTCCTTCCCCCAGTCCGTAGTTTGAAGAGGGAGATTTTCCTGGTTTGTGGGTACTACTGTATTTACTGTTAAACAGTTGTTGGCTCTCTCTGCACATTAGTTTAGCTTAAATTTAAAGCCTAAGTAGTTAAATCACTTCTTAAATATATGTAAATCAAGCTTTTTGACACATTGATTTCTCTCCCAAGTTACAAAAGGTAAATGATAGGAGCTTATGAGTTTTTCTGCTGAGAATTAACGCAATTGTGGGATCACTCATGAGGGTGATCATGATCATGATTGGCTGTTTTCTGAGCTATTTTCACAAAACAGTGGAATTGGGGTAACCTCCCCTTGCCCTTTGCTGCCGCAGCACTGCCCTTGAGCTGTGTCCCTTGGTGGATGCTGGGATCTGTCCTGCATTCCTGCAGAGATGTGTGCTCAGTCACTGTGTTGTGGATCAGAGGTTGAAAGTAGAAATTGCTTTAAATGCAAAGATGGGGCAGGCTCATGAGTTGGGCACACAGCACACCCTCAGTGACTGCCAATGAAGGCAGAATGTAATTTTTAAAGTGAAGTATGAGGTGTTTTCTCGAGGTTTGTGAGCATCAGTAGCTCTTTACCTCCCCAGAGCTCTGTGCTCTTCCCACCCTGCCACAGTCACTTCTCAGGTGAGCAGTGACACGGGGCCAGGCACCAGGGACAGGACTGTGATCAGTGTCCTCCTCCACAGGGGTGTCGCTTCAGTAACCGACCGCACCTGGCTGAACTCGGGGTCCTTCTGGCTCAAGGTGACGCCCTTTGGCTTCCGAAAGCTCCTGAGGTGGATAAAGGAAGAGTACGGTGACCTTCCCATTTATGTGACTGAAAATGGGGTATCGGAACGGGGAGACACAGATCTCAATGACACCTGGCGGATACATTACCATCGGAACTACATTAACGAAGCACTGAAAGGTAAGAGTGACTATTTAAAGCTGATTAGTGGTGTCTCCCAACAAGCCTGGCACGTACAAAGTGAGCTGTACAGAGCTGAAAGGCCACTGGCGACACATTTGTCAACTACACGTACGCATGGGGTTAACTCTGGGTCTGCAGCTGCGAGCCTTTGGGTGTGTGGAGACTGGTGCAGGGAAAGATGAAGTAGAGGCAGAGCAAACCATGGGGTTAGTAGAGTGGGATAAGGGAGGGCAGATTCCTTGTACAGCTGCGTCTGGCAAGAGAGGGTTCTTTGCTGCTGGTTCTATAAATAGCACCTTACTCAGAACAAACACACACAGGGACCTGGTTTCAGTTACAGCTGTGGTCAGTTTTGCTGCCTTGCCATAGGGGAGCTGACTGCCAGGTGTTCCCAACACACTTGTTTACTGCCTTTTAGCAGCGAGGGCCCCATGAACACTTGTTTGAACACCCATGGTGTGTTGTTAAGTTCTTCTCTCTGTACTTAGACCTTTGTGTACTGAATGAAAGCTTTGATTTTGGGAGCAGAGAGGAGCAGTCTCCAGGGCTGACGGAGCTGCCCTGGTCAGTGCCTAGGTGTAACTTGGCTGTTGAACCACCTCAGAGCAGCACGTGCCAGAGGTGGGGACAGGGAGGTGGTGAGCCCCCCCCGAGGCTGGGTTGGCAATAGCTTCATTGCACCCAGCTGCATTTTTGTGTGGTGCCCTGTTCATAGCGCTGTGGGCTGAGGGGCAGCTCCGTGCTGCCTGCCTGCTCAGCCCCCTGCTGTGTGTGCTCCTGAGCAGCTGTTGTGCTGGACGGCGTCGACCTGCGAGGCTACACGGCCTGGACGCTGATGGACAACTTCGAGTGGGCCGTGGGCTTTGATGAGAAGTTTGGCTTCTACCACGTCAACTACACGGACCCCAGCCTGCCGCGGCTCCCCAAGGCCTCCGCCAGGTACTACTCGCAGATCATAAGCTGCAACGGGTTTCCAGATCCAGCAGCAGGCCCACATCCCTGTCTGGAACCGGAGCCGGAAGGTGAGTGATGCAGCAGAAATCATGCGTCTGATGCTAAACCCAGACACCTTCTATAAGCTGTAGTCCTAAAAGACACCAGCTATTTTTACAATATTATTTTTAAGGGTTTTGGCAGCAAACTGCCTGATAGTCAGCCTCTGTTAGGACTAAAGGTAGCCGTGTGGAATTAGGTCACTTCTGTTTGCAAAGCCAGAATAACTTTAAAGGATGTTGTGGTAGCACCCAGCTATGTGCCTGTACTGAAAATACAGCAAAGAGTTGGGCCATTCTACTCTTTCCTGATTCACAAAATGTATCCCCAGTCATGCCCATCTAGTAGTCCTGCAGTATTTTTTAAAAAACAATTTTGACTGCATTCTAAGAAGCATTGGGAATACTTCCATTGTTTGTGTTCTCTGGGTTAAGTATGTTAACTTGTCAGTTGGGGCTGTTCAGAGGTTTGTTTTTATCAGCCATGACTGCCAGGGAACACTTGCCCTCCTCTGGCCTCAAGAGCTCTCTCTTAACCCCGGGTTGTGCCTTTCCCCTGAGCTGGAGTTGTCAGTCCCTGATCCCAAAGACCTACAGCTACAGCCAGGGCCCTGCCCAGCAGCACTGAGCCTCCTGCAGAGGAAGGAAGAAGTGATGCACACATACATAAGTTTACAACAGGCTGGGTACTAATTCTTGTTGTCTTCCCCTGCACAGCGACCCCGACAGTCCCCACGACAGTGGAACTGGCTGACAATGTGCGCTTCCTGGGCTTGGACTTAACGTCACACAGTGCCGAAATCGCGCTGTACGTGCTTTTTGCTCTTTCTGGAGTTGGAGCACTGGGCCTGGCTCTTCTTGCTTATAAATATGGAACATTATCCAAAAAATCCCGTAAACAATCACCCATGGAACTCAGTAAAATGTGAAGTTCAATCGGATTAAATATGGGGAATGGACTGAAACAATGAAACCCTATCACATTGTATTCTACTGCAGCAGAAAGAACGATAGAGCGCTCGTACTACTGCACCTTAATGAGGGGAAGGAAGCCTTAGAGATAGCGTCTTGTCTTTTTGTTGTTCGTTAAAATATGAAGCAAAAAATGTTCTGTTAATTGACTTCTTCCCAGCTGTTACTGATTTGATTTCTTCACATCAGAACTAAAATAGCTTGTTCCTAGTCGTGCAAGAACTTTGAACCTGACCGTTCATCTGTTCGCCTTCGTCACCTTCCCTGGTGTCCTGCTGGTCTCTTCAAGGCATCTGAGAGAATTCCCATGAAGGTCTACTGAACCTTAATGGTTCGAAGACAAGGTAGGGCTGGTAAAAACAGGTGGAGGAGGATATTGTTCTCACAGACACTGTACAGCATGGGTTTTTCTATTCCTCTTTTTGAATTTTATCATAAATTATTAAAAAATGAAAATTGGCCTAGCCCTCTGCCTTCGCATTTGTAGTGATACTTCACTGAAGCATCTTTAAATAGAAGGCTGAAGCAGCACAGAACACCTGTGATGTTTAGGGCCGTACAAAAAATATAAATGCACAATTCCACAGAGGAAAGCTTTGTTCCTACTTCCAAAGTAAGTTTCCCCATTCTTCTATTACAGTCCCTCTTTCCAGCAATATTTCTATTTTATGCGAGAAAGAAGAAAGTACTTACTTTCTCTCTGTGCCATCTCCTGGATGTAACAATTTTTCATACACATTTGACCAGATTTCAACAGGAACAACTCCCAAGTAAGATCTTTTAAACTGCAACAAAAAGCTTGAAGGTCTTTTTCCAACCTTTATGATTCTATGAAAAAGATTGCTCACTGTATTTTAAGTTTTAGTGCCTAAGCCTAGCTGTTTACTTGGTTGTGACTCCAGTACTTCAGAGGAATGTTACAAGAAATGACAGTTATGTTTTCTGGAAAATATTTTATTGAGTGCTTGGGGAATTAAAAACTACAAGGTTTTGCTTGCAGTTGCAGAAGCAAGAAAAAAGTTAAACATAAATTAGTTACCTGATTTGCTACTTATAGTGCTTCTGAAAACCTCATTTTAACCAGTCATTCCCCTCTCACAACCTTTATATTAATATATCTGACCCTTAAATTTATGTAGCAGAATATTTAAAGATTAAAAAGTGCCTTCCTAAGGGCAGTAGGGTATTGATTATGAAAGCTGATGTAGATTTTCAGTCTTAACTTGCCTTCTAAGCCTCAGCGCCACCCCCTTCATTTCTCTGACTTAGGCAAATTTATTCCATCCTCCCCTGCAGGAATAAGAATTAAGTAACTCACTTGGTGTGAAATAAGCCCCACTTGTCCAGAAGCTGTAGTTGACTTAGATCAATTAAGGAGAGAAAAAAAGAAAGCCAGACAGTAGTTACTGCAGTTACTTAAAACTACATTTGTTGTGTAGAATTTCCATTCCAAGTGTTGTTTTCATCTTCTCCGTCATCTTGAGTCCTCAGTCTATAGATTTTGCCTTCTTTTTTGAAGTCTTCCCCTCGCTTCTCCATGACTCGTTTCCTGACTGTTTGCCTAGGGTACAAATGACAGTGAAGTTTGACACTTTCCCCTAGTTACTGCATTGGCTTCTCTTGTGCAAGCAAGGCCTCCTCCTTCTCTTCTCCCCCAGAACAAGCTTCTTCAGCCCTTTGGCTCACAGGGAAGCTCTCCCCAGCTGAAAATGTGGCACTTAGGAGTCAGACAAACTGACAGAATCTCCTTTTCCTTGGAAAGGATGAGGTAATACATGGCTGCTTCACATGCAACAGCTGAGCTGCTCTGCTTGTGTTTTGTGTACAACCACACTGTAACAACATAAAAATGTTGAAAATCCAATCTCATCTTTCAAGTGATGGTGCTCACACCTGTAGCTACAGTTGAACTCCCTAGTCATAAATGACTGCAAGACAATGCTTTTTTTCTGCTCTGTAGTTGGAAATCAAAGCAAACAGTAAAGCGTTGGATTAATCACACACGTAAAAATCAAGATACCCTCAGCAGGGCTGCAGTGCAGTTTACTAGCCACCAGTTTATCCACCATCCATAGGAAGGATGGTGGCCAGAAAAGGCCAGGACAGAGCAGCAGTTCGAGGAGGACAGGCATGCAGTTCTCCAACATAAGACAAAAATCTTTCTAAGAAGTATTTTGAGAAACGGCCACCCAAAACAGTTTTGATTACCTGCTTTGCTCACTGTTGCTGGGCTTTGAAGGATTTGAATGGTCTTGCTGATGCGCGGTTCTCGCAGCAGACTGTGAGGGAGGTGGACTTGTAAACAGGAAATTGCTAATAAATCTCCAGACTGCTAAGAGGGGATAAAGTATTGTGCCCAAGAACTTCCACAGATCACCACCTGAAGCCTGAACAACCGAAGTAGCCGGTCTTCCCGCCTGGACGTGAACACAGAGCAAGCTTCTCAGGTATTAAAGCGCTACTCGTTTAGACAGAGTACTTCATACCGAATTTAGAAGCTTTTCAGTAGATACGAGAAAAGAACCCCTTTGGTTACACATTAAAAAAATCCCTATGCCACCACCTATCCATCTCAGAAAAAAGTCCTTTTTATAGTCTTGATTAGGCTATCTTAGACAAAGGAACGACCAAAATTCAAGCTGAATGTTTTAACGGCTGACTAAAAGCAGCTAGACAGCAACAGTGTCACTGCTTGGGGGTAAGTGAAGAACAAACCAACCAAACCCCAGCACCTACCGGCAGCAGCACCACTGAAGCGCTGGGTACCAGCTCTAGCTCCAGTAATTTCTTTCCATAATCTTCTTTGGTAAATTCCCTTCTGGGAAACATTGTCGCCAGCGAAAAATTGCCATAAGCATTACCAACCGTCTGTGAAAATATGAATAAAACACTTTATTTCTAACTGCTCACTTCCTAACAATCACCGAGTTGCCAATTGAGCACCCCTCGCTTTACTGACAAGGAGTTTTTTTTGTTGTTGTTGTTTTTTTGTTTTGTTTTGTTTTTTTTATCAAAATGACAACGCTGTCCACCTGAAGAAATGGAGAATTTCTCGTATCTTGCAGCTCACCAGTTACACAAAGGCAGCTGGTGGCAGCAGAAAAGGGTGCTAACCAAACCTGCTTCATACAAAGAAAAAGGCAAGCAGCTGGTGGCAATCCCACCACACTTACTGACTAGGTGCTGCTACACCACACTACTCAGCATGCATCAACATGAGACACTGACTTACCTGTGCAGCAAACTGCCTTGCCTCTTCCAGCCGTGCTTCGGAGGGGAACTGGTTAGTGAACGAAGACCCATCTGGCAGGCGGAACTGAATCCTGGCTACCAGGCTGCGGGACATGCACCACGGTCAGTCAGCACTTACAGACAGCCGCTCCTGGGGCTTTAGCTGGGCAGTAGTCACGTGGGGGGAACAGTCATCCTACTTAGGGCAGTGTCGATGGTTTACGAATTTGGATCCTGCTTACGTATCACAATGCATCTCCTCTGCATTTTTATCAGAATCCAAAACCCACCGATATTCAGAGAGGATGCTTACGTTGATATGCAGAATTTAGTAAATACATGGAAGAAATACAAACCACACAAGATTTTGTGTAGCCTCACTTAGGCTGGCTTGGCAAATAACTATTCTCAGCTAGCTAAGGCCCAGCATTTCTGTCTGAGGTCCATCATCAGCACAGCTCCAAGCCAACTCCACGCACAGCTGCACAACTGGGCCTGTACCATGCACTCGGGCATGGTTCGGACACAGTCACCTTATCCAGCTCCCTACCCAGCCCATTGTGCATGGCATTCAAATCAAGGCTCAGACAGAAAAAGCTCTTCTCTACTAAACATGCAAGAAAAGGAGGTGAGCACCACCATTAGAAATGTTTAACCAATGCAAGTTATCAGAGAACGTAACATTCACGTAGATAGCTGTCAGTAACCATTGCAAGAGAAAGCTACTTTTCATGTCACTAAACATTCCAACCTAGCATCAAATAACAGATTAGGATATACTATTTAATTTCCTAAAGCTTATATAAACTTTTTTTTTAAACCTTTTCCCAAAAACATACACTTCTGCTTTCTTTCCAACAACTCACCTTCGTTCCTTTTGAGATGCTTCTTTTCTGGCCTCCAGCTCAGCCTGTTTAGCCTGAAGAGCTGCAGCTTTTGCAGCTTCTGCTTCTTCCTTGGATTTTGCAAAGCGAGCCGCTCTCTCAGCACGATCCTTTGGAAAGACCAAACAAAACTTCATTTTTACCATAAACTGTAGCTTAACTCTCACTAAAGCACAACCTGTACTGCAAACCCAACGGCACCGATACAAGTAGGAGAGACAGTCAGGCTGCAGAGCTGTGCTCACTGCCAAACTGCATGAGCCCATCGTTAGACGAGATGACACACGCTTTGCAATGAGTCACTTCATCCACGTAGTTAACAGATGGTCTTCCCATGGAAGTTTAACATTCCAGGGAAGAGAAAGGGAAAAAAAATCTTACAAGTTGCAGTGCTGCTGTTTTCTAGGCCAAAACTTAGAAATGAGGTGGAATTTCAAATGTTGTGAAATGCTTGTATATATAGATGTTTGTGTGTAGATACAAATTTAAAACAAAAAATAACCCCCGCCACTTGGAAGCCAGCATTCCTTGGCATGCTCCACAATGAAGTACTCCCTGTGTTTCTGTTTCCGATCTCAGTTAAATTGTGTATTTTTTTTTTTTTTAATATTTAATGATAATCCACCACTTGGCTCCAACAATGTAGAAGACAAGTTGGTATGCTCATTCTGATAGATATCATCATGAATATGAAAGCAGAAGCTTCATTTTATACACAACAAGTGCTACTATAAAACCACAAATGCAGATTGTTATCACCCAAGGCCACGGGATTCCAAACAGAAAAAAAATAAGATCTTTCAATGTTTCTCCTAACAAGAAAGTTTACTTTTTTAGTATGCTGTTGGCCCTTGCAAGAGAGAGAAGCAGCAAGCTACCCTTCAAAACACAAAATTTTACCATTGCAATCTGTTGTCTTATACGCTCTCTAGCTGCCTTCTCTTCTGCCTTTTCTCTGTTCCTTTCCTCTAACATCCGTTTTGTCAATTCTTCTTCTTGCCGTCTTTTGTACTCTAGCATTTCTTTACCGGTTTTTCTCCGTTCGATTTCTTTCTTAATTTCTTTCTGCATAAAGAACAGAGACAATAAAAACAGGACCACAAAATTGCCTTGGACAAGACTGAAACATATTTTTTTTTTAACGGGAATTAAGCATTTATTCAAATACAGGTATCTAAATAAATACTGCAAGCAATTTTACATTTTTGTGTTACCTGTTCTTCTTCTTTCCTTTTCTCTTCTCGCCTTTCTTCAAGCTTTTTTGTTATCCTAAATTTACAAACAAAGTGAAAAGTCTTAAAATCACAGTATCTACTGTTATTACTATTTTTTTTAATTTTGATGATGCATTTGCAAACACAGAAGAAGGAAACACATGAAAATGAACAGAAACAGGAACGCATTGCTAACCCCTAGTGTAAAGGGTAATGATCCATCCACATGTGGCTGTGCAGTCCATAAAACCATGAGGTTGGGATCCACCCCCTAGCTTCCAGTTTTTGAATGGTAGTTCTAACACATTCCTTCTATCCTCTTCCGCTCAGAAAATGAATAATATCACATATTCTTATTGTTGAATCAACTTTTAGAACATACAATAAGCAATACTATTTATGACCTGTGGTAGAAGAAACACCAAGCAAGTCTCAATCTGTTCTTAACTATGTAACGTGTCGGGTTTCTTCTGCACATCACTTCCTAAACTGGAGAACAAATATTACATAGCACTCAGCTGTAATACAGATGCACATGTGTCTCATTTCTCCAGAAAGATGCCTTAAAATGAGGACTGATTTCCAAAAACATACTGAGGTGCAACATATTTCAAGTCTGGGAACAGATATGACCAAATAATACGAGCAGTCTGATAAAAGGAGAAACTTTTTTGTTTGTACAGTAGCTGTCGTTTTGTCATTTTAAAAGAAAATGGGAACTACCACACAGTCGTCTCTTTTCTTCTGCCCAGAAGAAATGCTTTAGGTGTATGCAAATATGGTACAATTTAAGATTAATACAGGTTTAAAAAAGGAATGACAGTATCTACATAAAAACACTGACTTTCTTATCAGTCTTGCCAGTGCATTTTCTGAGCTGTTACAGGTAAAATTACACTCACTGTCCAACTTCTTTGGAATAACATGGAAATTAAGTATGAAGTTTTAAAAATAGGATGATTTATGCTACTAAAATATATTTACTACATATGTGTTACTGGTTTTAGGTAGGATATTATAAACAGTATCTGTCTTACATATACTTTCCCTTCAGTGTTTTAACTCCTTCAAAACAGTCTGAATTCAAGTTCTATCAAAATAATTGCAAAGTTGTATCAAAGTAGTGACAATAATAGTTTTTCCAGATCACCCTCTTCTTTCAGAGTATACAAGAAATTAATTTAAAAGTTGGGTTTTGTATCAACCTTACTACTATCTCAAACATCCAAACAAAAATAAGGCCACATAAATGCCTGCTGGATGACAGCAGAATCAGCACCAAAATCCTGTAACTGAGCCTGTCTGATCCAGAAGTGCCTCCCGAGAAACAAATACAGTACACTGAAAGGCTACAAAAGAAGAGTTACCTTTCTACTTTGAGTGCAAGGTCATTCGCGGGCTGAGCACCACTCGCTTGTGCATCTGAAGACTGAGCAGCTTCCTGGCTTGCTTGACCTGAATTTGCTCCATCTTCAAGTGATTTACAAGAAGGTAACGCACAAGAGAAAAGGCATGCCTCTTAGCACAGAAGTATTATCAAACGCTCATTATTAGCCATAACTGGCAGCAGCTAGAACATCTCAAGAAGATAAGAAATTCTGCTGTTTAAACTCTTTGTGCCATTCCCCCCCTCTTGGTTCAGGTTACTAACCTAGAGAAACCTCTTTTACCGAATGTTATCGCAAGACAGCACACACAGGTTGTGTTGTGTTATAAATGGGTAAACGGGGCACGCCTCTCGTGTTACAACAGGAGGAGAATGACAAGTCCTGTAAGAAGCATCTCCTATACTCAAGTTTTTCCTCAGCAAGTCCATTCTGTCTTTTACGTAACATATAACACTGTAAGACAAGGAAAGCAATTTCCAAGCAAATCAGGTATAATTTTGGTAACAATACTAACCGTTAGCAGCAGAAGGCCTTACTGTCTCTGACGTAACAGACTCAGCAGAGTCACAGAACCCTGCTGCTGTGGATTGCACGTTTTCTGGAGCACCATCAGATTGAGATGAGGGACACGGAGCAGATGACTGACCAGGATTTTCCAGAGGTTGCCCTTTTTCTGCATGCATCTAGGAAATTGGGGTGAAAAGCCAGACTATGAAACTTCAGGTGTTTTCCTCAGGTTCGAAAGCCAAGGCTACTGAATTATTTTTGGAGAATCACTCTTATTTAAAATATAAAACTATAATTATCCTATATTGTTCAGTGTGACACAGAATATTAATTTTTTTTCCTAACTGTAGTCTCACAATTGAAATCAAAGTGATAAAAACTACCTATGCTTGTAGTACATCACACGTTCCAGTTTAGGGTTCTTGATATACTTCATTTCTGTAGGTGTTACACAAATCAATATAAAAATATAATCTGTGAAACAACACAACATAGCGCAGCACTTCTGCACAGTGCTTTCAAACCTGTTCAGCTTTTGTATTGAATTTAAAATTTGCTGAGTTTGTTGCTGGAGGGATATAAACCCAGTAATTCAGACTTCAGCAAGGTGCACGCTAAGGGCCTGTCTTGAACACGCATGCGTATCTGTGTGACAGCTCTAGCCTGCCAGCCAGCGTTACCTGTTTGACTTTATGGATTCTGGTAACGAGCTCTTCTACAGAAACACTGCCAGCAATTACTTCCAGAGGGATTCCATTGTCTCCTATAAAAAAACTGGATGGAACACACACTACAGGATCTGCACAGCTACAGTTAAGGGGAACAAACAACAAAAATTTATAGAGTGACATTTAAAGCAAAAGCAGAAGTCCTCCCCACAGCATCCTCTAGCCCAATACTCTATTTCCACCTGCTACTAGTATTAAGTGCCAGAGGAGAAAGAAAAAAGGAGCTACCAAATATGCTGGAAAACACTACGTACAACTGATTGGTATTTCTTCTTTTCCTTGAAATGGTCTGAGCCAAAATAAATTACTCCAACACACGCGTAGCCAACCAACTACACTTTGAAGCTGAAAGACTTTGTTTTAAAGTGAGATGACTTCTAATGTAGATACTACCGAAATCTTTACAATACCATGATGATGCACGCCAAGGTACAGCTCTCCCTTTCTCAGCATCCCACAGCATTTCTGAGCTACAAACAGCAACCTACCTAACCTCATACCTATGTATCTGGCAGAACCCAACCCACTTGTTCCTCCTCCTCTGCAATTCTGAACTACACATCTTATTACACGTTTTTCTGCACTCAGAAGTACCTTTAATAACATTGCCTGTAATTATTTGTCTTAAGAACATTATTATCTTCTGGATTTCAATTAGCTATGATCATAATGCAGTATCTAAATTGTTTTCAAAGGATACAAATTTGAGAAAACTGCAGGCATGCTTCACTGTTTGAAAGAAAAGATGCATGTTTAGGAGAAGCAATCACTTTGCAACAACTTTAAGTCTTTCAACATAAAAATAACTGTCCTACCACCACACACAAAACTATTTAAATACTTGAGAGAACACTAAAAAACACATCTTCTCATTAACATTTTGCATAAGTGTTGACATGGTGACAATCCCTGCTTGTCACAGTTGACTACAGATTATTATTTATGGAAGTAATTCTAAGAAGCAATTCAAGAAAAAGACATCAAGTGTACTGTGTGCAAATAAGACAAATTCTTCTAAAATGCCTATAGAGCATTCCAAAATAATGCAACTTTTGGAAATGTCAACGTGTTTTCTGCACAAGAACTGGGGTGCTCATACTAACAAAACTGAGTAACTCATCCAGGAATATTACTGCTTCTGCATTGCGTGTCACAAGACAGAAGCATTTTTTCTCCAGGGCCTTACAGACCTATCTTAATGAATTCCTAAGAATTTTCAAATTCATGATGTAGCTTGGCAAACCAAGAATTGCCTTGTAAGTACTTGCATTTTTATTCCTTTTTTTTTCTTGGCCTGTTTTTTTTTTTTTTTTTTTTGCTATCCTTTTCTGTTGATGAAGGACATCCTCAAATATTCTTTACTATATTCTAAAACTCTAGTATTCTAAAACTGAAATTCAGTAGGAAAAATACAGTGAATATTCTGCACACTATAACAGGAAACCTGGGAATTTTGAATTTTCTCTGACTCCATAGGCTCCAGCAGCACCAAACTCACTCATGCTCTGGAACATGTTATTTAGACTACTTTCAAATCAGGGACAGGACTTCAAAAGCCTCCTACTTTCATCATCATCAAAGGAAGATCATGTAAGAAACAGAATGAGAATAGGATCAAACCTTTTGGTGTCGATTTTAATAGCAACAAAACCATCTGAAGCAGCCTCGGTCACCTTCTCATCTTCCCACCTCGCAGCCATCTCGGTAGATTGTTCATCCTCACCTGCAAAATGCAGCACACATGAAGCAAACCGTGCCACAAGCAAATGCCTCCAGCCCGATTTAAGCTGATTTAAGCTTTGCTTCAGCCACTTGAAATCAGCTTTGCAAAAGTCTCTCACAATCATTTTCAAATGGGTTGATTTTTTTTTTACTATAATCTGAAGGCAATTCACTCCAGCTGATGCACTGGATGGACAGAAGGGACTGGACACACTGACGGAGGAGAGATCAAGGGACTGGATCTGACAGCGAGTCTGGAGATCAGCTCGGTGGCATCACCTCACTGCCCAACTTGTGACGGGCCTTGTTTTCATGTTACAGGAATACGTTCATGCTTTAACATTCTGCTTTGGTGTACGCTCCAAACACGCACGGAGCGCTCGCAGCAGTCATCAAAACACTGTGCCTCCCCAGCGCTAGCCTTCACCTACCATCCTTTGCTCACCAGTCCTTACAAATATAAGTACGCGTTGGTGCAGCAGCTGCTAACAGAGATAGAACTGCACTTCTCACCCCGTGGAAAACATAATTCAGCAAACAGCGCTTCAGAGTTTAATAATGTTAAAAAATCCATTTATTTTGTTTAAAAGGAGTCAGGAACCCACCAGAACCAGATCGGCAGTAGGAGAGCTACATAAGCCAGGAAAAGTGAAAGTGTTTTGGTGACGCACACTCGGGACGTTATTTTAACCAGGTGAAACAATGCCAGTCATCCTTTTACCTTCCCAAGCACCTGTTTAGTGAGGACTTGGGTTAATAAATACATTCAGATGAGTTTGTTATTTTTCCACAAGCGAACCAACCTACAAGCTTTTGTTTATCTTTCATTTCTAGTACTTCCTAGCAGCTTGGGATTGCCTGTGCTCTTGATGAAGAACTGAGTCACACGTTGGCTTCCAGCACAAGTCCATTATTCAACAACAAACGGTTTGTTTGTTTCATCCCAGTTGCTATTTCATGCAGTGCTTTTCACTCGTTAAAGATCAGAGCTTTCTGCGCAGCTCCCTGGTGAAGCCCTGCTCCCTCAAGGCTACAACTGGCTGGCCATAACGCTGCTCAGCAAGAAAGGCATCTAAAATACACCGATTTTGGAAACGTGGCTTTTCACTGGAAGGACTGTAGATGCTAAGGAAGTACTCGGCTCTATTGCTCTTACTCTGCACATCCCGAGTTACTAACTAGGATGACTTACACAGCAGCCCTTCGTTCTCCTGTGGCTGCAGCGCTTCCCACTGTGGCCTATGGATGCAGCTGCCGTGCCGAGAGCGCCACAGCCTCCTCCCCGTTCCCAAATGCTCAGGGACAGGCAGCCCCTGCACTGCACGCACTTCTTCGGAGCACATGTGCTCATCCGATTAGGCTACTAAAAATATCTCAGTGCTTGCCTAACGCAACTTGTCCATCCCAACAACTGCTGCAGTTGGAGAAAGAATGTTGAAAGACAAAAGCAGGTTGGAGATCACTCACAGCACATCTCAGAGATATGCCCCGGGAACAAAAATGCTGGTAACTCATGTATTGCAGGCCTGAATGTCAGGGAGCACGGTTTAATGTTGTGACTACCCACAGAAAAAACACTCGTGTAGCTTTTTGATTTAATAACCTTGTCCCATTTGCGGGTTAAGGTTCATCTGTCACGGTTTTGTAGCAGTAACAACATCCTGGAAACGAAGCACAAAAAGCATCAGAGAAGTCTAGAGGCTGAGCTCAACAGGACTTGACAAAATTCACGACGTCCTAAGTTACAGCTCGCGTAGCACACAGTCATCAGGGAAAAATGTTTCCCTTACAGAAGACAACAAGCCCAGCTGACTTCACACAAACCGTTCACCGTTTCGTAACTACCCACTAGGGGTAAGGACTGCCCGCTCCATGGGCTGGAGCGCTGAGCTGCTCACCTCCTCCTCCTCGCGGCATCCCACACAGCCAGCTTGAAAAGCACTTTGATACAGCTTGGATAGAAAACACTAACAAATAACTTGGGATTGCAAATCTGGGTTCTGTTACAAAAAATAATCAACTACAAATAAAGTTATAAGCAAAACCATTTCCACAAATGTTTCTAAAAACAAACATTCTAGCTTGAAGTCCTTTCTACACTTTCCCCTTCCTCTTCCACTTCTGAAAACGCACTGGTTATGAGTGGCCTGGTATTTTTGTTATCAGAACATGTCAAACTTTTGGTAACAACAATCTCAAACACCTCAGTCAGCACAGAGGAGGCATCTGAAGAAGTTCCATTAAAAAAAGAAACACACCAAAACCACACAACTTCAGATGAAGTAACTCACACCATTAAAGGAGTCTTCTAACCCTGAAGGCAAGAAAATCATCTGCAGAACCTCTTCCAAGGTACCCAGGGTGTTCACGAGATGGGATCTTTAACACTGCTCACACAACTGCATCATCAGAACCATGCCGTGAAGGTTTAAAAACTAAACTACAAGTGTTAGGAATACAGCTGCAAACAAAAATGTTAAACATAAAAAAAAAACTGGCTGAACAACATGCAACTGCAGTCTCACGCAGCACCTCCTCATCATTAAGGTAAACAGCTATGTTATTTCTTACTTGGCTAGAAAATACTCTAGAATCAGAACGAACAATCCAGTTCTTCATTTTGCACCACTTGTTTAGAGAAGTGCAGGGAGCAGGATGAGAGGCGCAGACAGATGGTGGCAGGAACCAGAGCAAATGAAGCGAGCCCAGCGGGCTTCAGCACTTTCCATCAAGACTGGCTCTAGTAACCGTCCATCACAGCGGCCACCCTAAAACCACAACTGATTTATAGCTGTCATTTCTTTTGCTAACTGTTCCCCTTTATTAACGTTTTCTCCAGATGGAGATTACTGGGCAAAGTGCACAAAACCAAAGCACAGAGCGTGTCCTGCACAGAAAGCTGCCCCCAGCGCTTCTCCTCTCTGCCCGTGGCCACGCGTGAGGTTTCCAGCGTGGATCCACCTGAGCCACAACCCCCGCCGCTGCCGGCAGTGTGCTGGCCCCCGGCACCCTTCGAGCAGGGCTCCCAGAGCCCAACACGCACATCCTTGCGTTGTTTACACCAAGGCCCTGCAAGCACAACCCGGCCAGCCGCACCTGAGGGACGGGGCCCGCTCTGCGCGGAGCCGCAGCTCCGCAGAGACACCAGGAGCCAGCCGCGACGCTCGCTGCTCAGCCACCCACCGAGCCCCGGGCAGCCCCGGCAGCCCGGCAGCCCCGGGCACTGAGGCACCACCGAACACCTCCAAGGATCCGAAGGCTCCGTGCCCCGGGGGCACCCGCGGAGCCGCCTCAGCGCCGGGCGGGCTCTGTGAGGGCTCCGTGAGGGCTCTGGGGGGGCTCCGCGCGGCGCCGCCGTCCCCTCACGGAGCCGAGGCGGGGGCGCAGCGCCCGGCCCTGACACAGCACAACGCGCCGGGCCGGGCCGTGCCGGGCAGCGCCGAGCCGAGCCCAGCCGAGCCCCTCCCCGCTGTCCCCCGCTGCCCCCCGGTACCTGAGACGACGACGACGAAGACGGCGCCGCGCTGCTTGGCCGCGGCGATGGCGGCGGGGATGGAGCCGCCGAACCACAACATGGCGCCCGCACGGCCCCGCTCCCGGCCCGCCGCCGCCGCCGCCCCCGGGGCGCATGCGCGCGGCCCCGCCCCCTCCCAACAGCCTCCAAGGGCCCCCCGCGTGCGCGCGCCCGGAGCCGCCTCCTGAGGGGAGGGGAGGGGAAGGGGCGGGCGCCATCTTGGGGGCTGGGGGCAGGGAGGGGGCTGCGGGATGAGGGGGGGAGAGGAGCGCGGGGGGACCCTGAGGTGAAAGTGGGGGAACTGCGCGCTGTGTGAGCTGATGGGGCCACAGGGAACAGCCCCAGGGTGCGCCAGGGAGGCTCAGGTTGGAAATGAGGAGATATTTCTCCTCAGAAGCAGCCAGGCGCTGGGACGGGTTGCCCAGGGAGGGGGGGGTCACCGCCCCTCGGGGTGCTGGAGGAGGGGCTGGGGCTGGCGCCTGGGGACAGGGTTAGTGGGAGGTGGGGGGGGTGGTAGCAATGTAAACAATACACATTTTTTAGAGATGACTTTTTGTTCATCCCTGTTATGTATCTTCGTGTAAAGGCAGAGGTTAGGGTGTAACGTGTACAAGCATCATGAGCTCGATGCAGACGTGTGATACGTTGCTGTGCTCATCCTCATGGCGTTCCCGGCAGCTGCAGTTTGCATTAATCACCCACCCTGCGTTTGGAACCTCCAGTTAGAAGCTGAGTTGCACAAGAAGGGTAAGAGGTGCTGAACACCACTCGTTTGGGAAATTGTTTTGCAAACATGATTCTCAAAAATTTTTATACCACTTCAAGAAAGGAATTTTGTTTAAACATAAAAGTGAAAGGCTTACTAATGACTGGATAGGTGACTTTTGTGAGAGCGGACAATCTTTACATCTTGAAGAAGTATTAGAATTTTCAAATAATTAAAATGTAACAAGTATAATTCTCTAACCGTGGGGCCATTGAGTTGCTGCAGTTGCACGTGTCTCTGCAGGTATAACTAATTAATCTGAGAGCCCCTTGAGCAGGTGTCCCTGAGGAGCAGCAGAACGCTCCATGCATAGGGAGCATTTGTAGTGCAGGGCAGAGGGATGGAGTTGGGCGGGTTGCACCACCTCAGACACTAGGTGGGGACAAATAAGAACCCTAAAGGAAAAAAATGCCACATGTGGATTAGGGAACCTTCCTGAGCCTTTCTTTAAAGTGATTTGGAAAGGCTTCTCTCACATCCAGCCTGCTTCCCAAATCACTTGTAATGGCAACATTGCGTAATGTGTGAGGTAGCTTCACAGTCCACCTCCAGAGCATTTGGTATTGCAAGTCTGAAACTTTTCAGAACATACTGATCCAAATTTGATGGAAATCACATCTGTTGCTCTTGGGGAAACTTCAGCTAGTTTAAGATAAAATACACAAAGCTTGAATTTGGCAATTAGTATGGGAAACAATGCAAGAGACTCATTTACATTTTAAGAGATTGGTGAATCACGACCCCCTCAAAAAAAAAAACACAACACCAAGCAATAAATAGCAGCAGCAACAACAACAGAACAACACTGCAGATTGACTTTGTACAGGAAAATATTTTTATTAGTGAATTATTTTTAATTGCACTGTCACTTGATGCTAATCAGTGGTTCATTAACAGTTCAAAGTATCAATTTAAGCCAGGTTAAAAGGCAAATAATTTGACTAAACAAGACAAGCTGTGGTGCACTTCCTCGTATCTATAAACCAATACTGGAGGCTATCATAGCACACTTAATGGTGCTATTTCTTAGAGTAACTAATTTGGAAACCATCAGAAGGGCAAGGCTGTGCTGCATACCCATCTCCCTAACTAATCTTATAACTAGTGCAAAAAAGTTACAAGTTAGGTGTTAGAAAGAAGGAGAATGCCAGTGTCCCCATTTCAAGTTCCGTCTGAGGTCCTATGTAAATTGTGCATGATGTGCATTAGTCCATTTTTATAAATAGATATGTATAGATTTTCTTTAAGTTAGCTGTCAAGTGATTTTAGGAAAACGAATGTAGCAGATCGTTTAGGGTTGAAACCAGTGCATGCTGCAGCCATCTTCTAGCACTTCTACCTCTGCTGCGCCTATGTCTGAGAGGTTTCACTGCTGTCAGCACGGTTTATCATCATAACTTAGTCTAACTCCGATTTGCAGTTAACTGGGGCATGGGATCTGAATTAAGAATAAACTTCACTGTTAAAAATTATACACAGCAGCACAGTTTATTTTTATATTTTTAACCAGTTTTAAAAGCAAACAAGTGTCAGCAACATACAGGTTTTCCTACAGAGCTCTTTGGTTTACAGCACTAGTCTTATCTGACATTCAAATTTCTCTTCAGAAGTGCAGAAACAGTTCATTACAGTTGCATGCAGCCCATATGATGACTAGGCTTGTCTGCTTTAACAGTAAGACTGAAAATTAACATTAAAAAAGCAGCAAATGGTAAAGTCTTTGTGCCCTGTACCAATTTTTAATGCTTCTTAATCATCTCTTAAGCAAGACCCGCTTTCAACCTGACAAATTTTGACAATCTGCTAGCATTGCAAAGCAGTCAAGTAGTTACAAGCAGGATAAAAAATAAGCCTTGCTAACAAGGGGCTGCCAGACAGGTCCCAACTCCAGCCCTACAAGCCTAAACACAGAAGGTAGACATTGAACCAAAGGGAGGCTCGTACGTGTTACGGTAACAACACAACTGCATCATTTTCAAGGCAACCAAGAGACTTCCTCATTTACATCGGACCTTACATCTAAAATTTTCAGCTGTGAATAGTGACTTTGCTCTTCGGTTCCAGAATAAGATAGCTTAAAGAGACTTAATGTTCAGGTTTTGGAAACTGGACCCTTTTAAGTGTTCTCAACTACACACAGGAATTAAGACTTCCAAAATGAAGTAACATTAACATTGTGCACTGTTTTTACGCTTATCGACATCACTAACCGGAAATACCCAAACCCAGAACACTTTAAATGTGAGCAGAACCAACACTTTGAATAGAGGTACCTCATCAGTGATGTTATAAGAGATGGCACAAGACTGGACTGTAGAAGAACCAAAGGGATTGAAGGCTGTCCTTTTTGAGCTACAATAATTTGTCATGACCCTTGGCATAAAAGCGGTTTGATCAATTTCCTCTAAAACTTCATGCAAGTGTTCCTTGCCTCAGGGCTAAATACATGAAATTGCAGCCCATGCCACTTTTTTTTTTTTTAGGGAAAAATAAATTCATGGAGCTAAATTAGATCTTCATAGAAGTTAGTTGCAATTTTGACTCCCTTTCAGACATCCAAACAAGCTACTACAGGATCAACTCAAAACAACGTGCTGGATGTGCAATTTTAAGGCACAAATGAGTGTTAAAGCATGAGAACGTGACTTTATTCTACCTTCAGAGGGAAAGGGCTTGCATTACTGGATAGGAAAGGGGTATAGAGCAGTTTGACTAATACAGGACAACAAAACTGGTTTTGCTGGGAAAGGCAAGCTGCGTATCAAAGTGCCTTATTCAATACTAAATGATTCTTCTCATGCTTCAACAGAACTAAACTCCCATCTCTGTGCCACCGTCCTCATCTGGACCTTGAAATGTAAGGGATGGGCTTCTGAGATCAGGGACAGTCACAGGTAGGAGCACCCAAGTTCTGTAGTCTTCAGTTGCTAGTACACAACAGTGCTGAAGTCCTTTCTTTGTAGATGATGTTCCACTACTTTTTACAGTCATCTTCTACATGTGTGAGCAAAAGAAAAGACTTTCAGATTAAAATGGGTTAGATTTGCTCAGGGTAAGATTTGTTTTAGGTAAGGTGCAGCGTACTGGTTTTTTAATTTTATACCACTCCAGACTTAATGAAACGTGAAGCACACAAGGGCAGTTTGGCAGCTCTGCAGTGCTGTGAGGAGATCTTCCTGAGTCCAACCTCATGCCCATTGTTTTTTCACTGTTCCTAAAGGATGGGGTTTGCTTGTTTTCTTGATTTTAAGCAATCATTTTCGTTGTACTATCACAAATAACATTGAATCTGTCCACAGTTCAGGGATGCATTTTATACAGTAATGTTACTGCATTAATAAAAGCTTACTCGAGTAGTAGCCTTACCACTTGGGGGGTAGGTAATAGCCAGATGAGCTTGTGTTTTCTGGTTATTCTTCCAGTGCTTTTTCCTCACCTTCAACAGTTAAGACATGCTCACAGACAAATAAAAAGCCTTAAACCACTGCAACAGTTCGAGTCCCTGTTTAATTCTGTTGGCTGTTACTTACTTTTAAAATAGCTTCACTGTGGAATGACAGGAAGCTCAAATAGGCTGGTTCTGGATTAGCTGAGCACACTTGAGAAAGCGAGTTTTATATATAGCGTCTATTTCAAGCCATGAAGTACAGTCATTTGCTTTGTAGAACGTGATCCAAACCCATGGAATAAACCTAGTTTCAGGGTTTTTGTGCAGTCCCTAGACTTGGGTGTTTTAGGGAACCAGAAGGGGCAGAAGTGTAAAAGCCAGGAGAGTGGGGCTGGTCTTGGTTCAACAAGTTTGAGAGCTGATGTCTGATGAACCCTGGCCAGTTACTAGAGACAGTATGAAATGGCACAACAGCTGGAATGAACAAAAGACTGTAAAGTGGAAATATGTTAGTTTGTGCCCATTTTAGACATCAGAGACCTTTATAATTAATAGGACTTCAGGGGTGTTAATCAATGAAGTACACATCAGCATACCCAGATCAAAAACTTTAACGGCCCCTACTTAACAGGAAAGAAAGCATGCCCAGAAAGGGGAAACTAACTGTAGATAAGAGTCATTCAGGATTAGAATAAAACTGACTTACTAAATGCTTTTTTTCTTCTGGAGGAACTTTCACTCAAATTTACAACATACTTGTTAAGAAATATTGGCTGAGACTTGTTCCTCTCCTCCTTTTGTTTGCCTCGCTCACGTTCTCCATGCTTACCTCTCTCCTCTTTGTTTTCTTCTCTTTGGTTATTACGGGGAAAGTTTATTAAATGAAGCGAGTCATGCAGCATCCTTTGGAAATACCTAGATTTAATGTTACGCTTAGCTCTGGTCTTAGGTCATTCAGAATAGATGAAAAGTCTCCGTTATACATTCCTCTTCTACATTTATGGAACAATGTCCTGGAAATGTTTAGCCACAGGAAGCAGCTGCCTTTCTTTGTTTCAACACCCGTCAGTACAGACATTTAATTTGTTAACTACTTTCACGGGAGTAAAACAGTAATCTTGAGCTAGTGCTGGAGAATTGACAAGAAGCAGTGATGTAGCCTGTGCAATGGTTGTGTTACCACCTCTGGGCTGCTGAGAGGAGCGGAATATTGTAATCCGCGTAACTTGGGGGTGATAGAGGCACTGAGTGCTACAGCACTCCCACCTCAGGAGGAAGAAATACATCCTCTCAGGCATGACTCTTCATTCAAGTAGTAACAGATGAACTTGAATGCCAAGAAACATCCATCCTTTTAGTGAAACGGACTTAGCAAAGTGGATCTGCTTATCTGTTGATAAGTAAATCTGTCTTTTGGCTAAGGGCTTGAAGTTGAACATTTTCCCTCTACTTCAGGAGAACATCCAAGCGTAAGTGTACCCTCAGCCATGTAAATACCTGTCACTATGGCATTTTGCAGGGTCAAGTCCCACATGCCTCGTTCGTTAGGCTGCATCATTCCCAGACTAATCAAAAATACGTAGAAGAAAATTGATCTATCACATGAATGATTTGAGCATGCACAGGACTGTTACTACCACTTCACATGTTTACATTTGGTTGTTGAGTGGTAGAGTTTTCAAAACATGGTGAAAATTAATGCCTCTAAATTCTTTCCCTCTGTAAAATGTATTTTTATAATATAACATTTACCTCAAGTTTCCACTTATGGAAATTACAAATGAATGTTTTACAGAACTACAGCTGTAAAGGAAGGGAACAAGTTATTACTTGTCTATGCAGCAAGTCAGTGCCCATGCTAAGAATAATAAAAAACAAAAACAGGAGCAGCACCTCATGGTCCCTGATCAATTTCTTCCTAGTTTTACTTATATAGGGAAACACTTAAAAACAAAAAAAAAACCAAAAAAAAACCAAAAAAAAACAAGGAGGCTGACATAAATAAATGCTTCAAGAAGAGGAACAGAGAGAGCGGTTCTTTGAGAAATTCTAGTGTTTATGTTATTAACAAGTTATTTTCTCACATTAAAGGATCCAAACCATCGATGCGTTCATCCAGGTTTCAGAAGAATCCTAGAAGTTTAAACAAGTGCACTGAAAAAGTTTGTTTGTAAACATTTATTTTCTTGAACTGAAAAAGGCTTGCATCAGCACACATTGTACAGCCTTGCAAATTACACAAATTGAAAAAAAAAATGTTTGTTTCATTTTTATGTGCAATTAATCTTTAATGTCCAGTGAGCATCTGCAAATGATGAAAACTTAAACCATTAAAAAGGTTTCCAGCACTTATCAAATACAATTATCTTAGCGTGAAAAGGAAGAGAAAGAGATTCATACTGGTGGGAACACAATTAAAGTGCAAACATTTTGTCACTTGTGAAGACAATTTAGTTTCTTCACCTTTTTGCTAAAAAGAAATATTAAAATGTGATTCAGTGAACATTCTTTGTAATCTATTCATATTCCCCCTTAAATACTTATTAAACTTGTTGGATCAGAAGCAAATCCTTCAAGGTTACAACCAACTTCTGATTTCTTTTGACATTGCTTGAATGAATCTCAAAAGAAAACCACCATCTAAGGAGTTAGCTAGTTACTAAAATTATATTTTTTTCCTTTAAAAAAAAAACAACAAAACAAAACAAAAAAAACACAAGGGGAAAGGAACAGGTTAATTTGAAGATTTGGGGTACTTCGCTAGAAAATGAGAGTAATTCCTTGGACATGGTTCTCTTTTCCCCTCCACCAATCCTCAGGCTCCTGCTTTGGAATGGACAGCTGCGTGCTGGCTGTGAAAAGGGATTATAAAATACAAATCTGGACGTGGGATTTTATGAATGTCTGCTGTACAATAGAACTTTGGATCTGATACAAGAATTCAAAAATATAAAACAAAACTATTATAAAAGTAGGGGGCATCTCAGCGGCATTCCTTATAGAAAGCTGCCTTTTCTCAAAGGTGATTCCTTGCTATTGTCTGGGATCAACTCTTTATTTTTTTTTCTTCATCTCGCTGGATCACTGGGTTATTCTTCAATGGTTAATGTCACATGACAAAACATCCCAGGAGTCTCTCTAAAGAGAGCAGAAACCCCGTAACATCAAGCCAATCGAGGAGAGGAGGACATGAAGTAGTAAAGGCTGAGTGTCCACCGATGGAACTGCTACTGAGAACTAGCCCTTTCCAGAATGTGAAAGTCGTAGTGCTTCTTGCTCGTTCTCAGCCTGAACTTGTTCACTGAGGTACTATTTTGTTTCTTCAATGCGTTCTGAGCAGCTGACATCGTAGGGAACGTAGCTAGAACCGTGTACGTGGAGGCCAAGTCACTGGGTTTGGATGGCTCAGTGTTCACATTGCTATCCCCGCTGCCACAGTAACGACGGTGCTGCTGCGTCTGCAGACACTGCGAATCCCTTAGCCACCGAATCTTGGCACCAACTTTTAAAAGTTCTCCAAATAGTTTCTCTGCTTCCATACGAGTTATGCCTTCTGGCAGTTCAGTTATTTCTAGAACTTTTCCCACAACTGAAACAAGAAAAAGATGGAATCAAAATCGGCGGTTGTATTGAAATGTACATCACACAGCGGAAAGTGAGTTATTTCATCTCACATCTCCAACTGCCTGATGCCATGAAACTTGAGGGGCATTCTGCTGTCACAGAAAAGCTGAGGATACAAAGAGGCCCCTCAGAAGAGTGGGGCAGGGAATCCACACCAAATTTTGCAGTAGATTTGAACACTCACTCTACCACCTGACGCTCTTCACACATCACTGTGCTAAACAGCTAGTCTCTCTGCTTTCAGAATCTTCTCCAGAAAATGGTTAGAAAGAACTGATTTATCAGTAATTTTCTGCAAAGAGCTGATGGTAGGTAACACTTGCAACACAAGTAATTTCCAGTAAAGATGGGAGAACAGCTGATGTCAGGTTTTATTTGGATGACATCTTTACCAACTCCGAAGACCCAACCTGCAGATCTCCTAGCGTGTTCTCAAAATTCATGGATTTATTTTTATTAGAAGGAAAAAACTAAGTATTAACTTTTTTCTGGTTTAGGTATGATTTTGCATTTCACAGAAGTAAGAGGAAGCAGGGGTACACGTTTACTATAATATTATGGGAGAAGGGTTTTGGACTTGGCTTGAATCCAGTAAACTTGCTTTTCCTTTTAGTACTGTCCAGTCCTGGTCTTCTCTAGTCTTTTCTCCAGCTTTCAAAACTACGCTTTTCTCATTCCTCTCTCTCTCTCATTATCTTTCCTCTCTCTCCTAATCAAGTCTTCTGTCCATCTTTGTTTCCATGGTTTGCCATGCCCATTTCTGCCCAGTTACATTTCATTCTGGCCCTTTTCTCACCTGTGCTTTTCTCATTACATCCCTAGCCTGTCACCACAATTTATTCTGCTGGAGGACTGTGTCAGTCAGCAATTCTATACCTGGTTCTCCCGCACCAAGATCTGTTGAAGCAGCCTTCTTTGCTGGTTTCTTCCCCCTGTTTCCGTGTCTGTTTCCAGGCTGACACTGGAGAGATGGATATAAATGATGTACTTTAATGACAGCGCATCAGTAATTTGAAATATCTGGGTTAGCTCAGTGAAAAATGATGCAGAAGAATGTCTGAAAAGTAACCTGTGCTACTGCGGTATAGAAAAGATTTCCATGTCTGATTTTAGTCATGGAGTTTAGCAATCCTGCAGTCAGGGGCATTCAATCCTTCAGAAGAAAGGAAGCAAATGACGAAAAATCACCTCAACCCTTCTTGGAAAAAAAATCCATCCCCGCCCCCAAACCCAACACACCTTCTGGCTGATCTCAGGTAGAACTGAGCAAGGGAGAGGGTCTATGTCTGTCCCAGAAATTAAATAGATGGCAAGACTTGTGAGCTTTGCCAACTCTTAATATTTTGGCTTTCTTGTAAGAAACAAAGACACCCTTTGCTTAGAAAGACCCGTATGTATTTTCTATTTTTAAAAAACTTATTCAAATAAAACAATAATTTACAGAAACAGTCTCTCTCCAATTTTTGGAACTGCTGGCAAACTGCCTCCAAAAGAATCCATATTCTACACTGGGCTTCTATCTTTTGTAGGTTGGAATTTCGGTTCAAAAGAAAAGCTACATTTCATGATGCTTCTCTATATTTTTGCAACAGGAACAATGGGAAGTATCAACACAGAATAAAAACAGTTATTGGAAAGCACGTGCTTTCCAATCAGTTACTTTTCTAATGCAATGATATATTCTCCTGTTCATGGTTATTATAACTGTAGTCCTGAACTGTTTTCTTCAGTGTTTCCAGGAGAGTGTTGTCTTTAATACCTGTTGGCTTGCTACTTGTCCACGTAACAAAGATGGTGGATTGTATTGCAGGGGCTGGCCGAGCAATGGGTATCTGGCATCTCCTTAAAGAGAAAGGTAATTAGAAAGCTTTTTTTTTTCTGTAATATAAAAACTCTCTCCAAATTCTCTTACACCAAAGAGAAATCAGAATGACTTCACAAAGCAGTGTATTTAGCTAAGCTAAGAAAATAAGATTTGGCAGTTAAGTAAATGCATATAAATAAGTCTTACTGATCACAAGGTGGAAGGCTACAAGCCTAAGGCTCTCTTGTATTTCAGAGTTCCACGGGAAAATGTACTATTTTTTTTCCCCTTCAAAGCAGTCTTCTCTAAATCCTGTCACATCAAAATGAGCTTAATGAGGCTGCTCTCAGTGTAACAGTTTAACCATTTCCATGGTAATATCCCTATATTCCTGGTAATCTAGTGCCAGGTACATCTGTATATCCTTTTTGCGCCAAGGAGCCACAAGATCGGTGAACATAAATTTTTAATAAATCACAGAAGATTAAGAAAGTTGAGGGACACGACTTACAACAGGCAACCTGTTTTTTTTTTTTTTTTTTTTTTTTTTTTTTTTTTACAAGAGGAATGGAACACAAAGCAATAGTGTAAAGATCATGCAGAAGGTAAGACAAAGGCAAACAAAGGAAAATAAGGTCTTCTCTATCAGTAAGGAAGACCTAACAGATTTTTCTCTAAGTTTTGCTTTACTTTAATGCAATTTTTCTATAAAGTAAGACCCACTGATTTCAAGTTTGGCAATTGCAGATGTCCAAACATAATGGGCATCCTTGGTCACTGACACAGGATTTATCATTTGTTTTTCCAATTTTTAATCACATCTCAGTGAAAATTCCCTATTTTCTGTTTTACGATAACATGGCAGCAGAGGAATGAATGAAATTATTCTACAAGGATTTTTCTTCTATCATGCTAGTTTTTCTAAAAGGAATGAAGAATTTGCACTTAGGCAGTGGTTTGATTCATTGTATCATCAACGAGTAAATGAGTTTGGTAGAACATTCATCTTAACGTGACATTTCTGTGTCCTTTTCTCCAAAAGATACCATTACCACCCAATGTGTTAAGGTCAGTTTGTCCCACATGATTTATCTTTGTAGCTCTAAAATTATGCCTTTTGTAAATAGATGTAGAGTTCTTGATTTATGGTTAAAACTTGAAACTAAATTATATCAAACATTGTATTAATATTTTCAATTCTACAGTGGGCAATTTCTCATGAGAGAAAGCTAGTGAGTTAAAGAAGGTCCAACAACAAAAGATTGAGGCGTTTGAGAATATGGGGAATGATACCAGTGCAGAGTGATAAGGCCAAATTGTACATGATGCAAGGTGGGCAGTTTTGATGATCCTGCTTCAGCAGCAAGACTACTCAAGTGAGCCACAGTTTGTCACAAAATCCTTATATAGCTTGTATTTTAAAACATTTATTGAAAATAAAACCACAGAAATATTTTAGTTAACTAAAAATATACCTTGTCCAGGGACGAAAGGTCTAGAAAACTGGGGCACAATAGAAAGAGGTGTTAATGTGGGACGGATGTTCTTCATGTTTGATAGCTGAGCTGGTGCTGGTGATTGGGCCGGTGAGGTGACGGGACTACCTACTTGAGGACTATGCTGCAACTGGATAAACAAGTTAGTGTTTTAGAAAGTATCTAGGTGAGCAATGACATCTACAGCATTCAAACGCTGGAAGCAAAATTAAAATTGGTATATTAAATACCATCAGAACAGATTTTATTCCCCAAAAGCACTTTTGGGGAGAAAGAAAACCAACACAAAATGACATGCAAAGGTGCAATTTATGCAAATAAGTCATGCTGGAAAATAAATCCAAAAGCTCATACCTGTGCAGCACTGTCTAAAGTGCTAAGTTCTGCGGACTTCTGCCCCCTTTGATGATCACAGTAGTATTTATTCTGTTTCCACTGTGGAGGTGAATGGTTCCGAGGCTGAGGATTGTTAGGTATATTTAGCTGCATCATTACTACTCCTCCACCTGGTGGTGCTGCTACTGCTGCAAGACAAGAAATTGGTAGAATACAGTTAGCTTATCATATATTTAAATTTTTATTTTACAAGAAAAAATGTGAAAAAAGAGAAATAGCATAATGGATATCTTGCTAAATAAGCTGCTCAATTACAGAAAACTAGGACAAGTATCTTCTGAACAATTATATTTCCACTATCAGATAAACGTGCACTAGACTAACTTGAGAAGGCTTCCCAGAACTATACAAGATAAATGGAACCAATGAAACTCATTATT